TTCACTTTTGCCAGCGACAGACGTGGAAAAACAGTTTTTAGGTAACTCGTCGATTCACCTTCCTTAACAAAATTTTTCATTAGTCCCAGCTTAATGTGTAATGGTGGTAAAATAACGTCTTCAAACTTCACGAGAGCTGCATTCTTTACATTGTAATTTTCCAAAGTATGTTCCTCCCGTTTTGGCCAGAGTTTTGTTGAATAATGCTGTTCTCTAGCTCTACTATCCCATAGGCACAGGAAGCAGCAGTGTTTTGTGTAACCACCTTGCAATCCCGTTAACATGGCTACAACCTTCAAGTCACACGCGACCTTCCACTGTTGTTCTTACTACACTAAGGCACAGACACTATAGGCACAGAGTTATTTATCCATGATTATGATTAGGTAGACGCGACAAGATCTAATTTGTGTCGACCAGCACTTGTGAGAATATAAAGGAAACATTTGACCTGAACTAGGTTACCTCAGATACATTTAATACCAAAGGAACGCGATCAGGTACCAAATGTACAACCCTTTTTTGTTTCTTTGTTCCTAATTGGCAATTGGGCCCGCAACCTTCCAAAAGGTATTTTTTGTTAATTTTTTTTCATTTTTTAGGTTTGGTTAACGAATTTTAGCTCCAAAGTCTCTCCATAGATTTTAATGAGCGATACCTTAAACGACGCCAAATTAACGCACATATACACAAAAAATAGAGGACACAAGATATAATTTCGACTTTTCCTGAGTTTTTAAAGTCAAAATTTCGTAAAAAATACCGCACAAAAATCATCATTTTTGCATTTCAATGCTTTATATTTCCCAGACGGTAAGCTGTAATCACAAAGTGTTTGGGCTTAACTTCTAGCTGTTTTATCTTTTCAAAATAGCAAAGTTCTTTACAACCAGACGTAAGATACTAAAGTTATGTGAAAAAAAAACTATCGCTACCTCTGAAAAAAGCTTAAAAAAAATACCAGATTTAAAAAATTCTTCAAAAAAAAGTTCTGCCATAGAAAAAAAAATATCAACAAACCATTTCTAAGCCCCAAATCTTTAATAAAAAGTTGGTTTTGTTCCTTGAGGAAAAATCGTGTTGTGTAAGCGCCAATCTAGGCTCTTCCTCGTCAAGAAAGACGATTCCACGAGGCACTCCGCAGGGAGGAGTTATATCCCCTCTCCTGTGGAACCTGGTCCTCAACGACCTTCTTCTTCAGCTGGGGAGAAAAGGATATAAGGTTACAGCCTATGCCAGGGCTCGGCAACCTTTTGAGACGGAAGACCCAAAAGTACCAATTTTAAAGAGCCACTCAAATTTTTTAATCAGACAAGCAGACAAGTAAAAGCTGGATTACTTACTTTTGCGTTTTACGTTTTCAGCCAAAAATAATACTTTTCATTTCAAGGTCTTGATATTCGCAAAAGTGTGGTTTATTTCCTCCATATTTCCTCTCAATTTTAACCGACGGGTAAAAGACGGCCGAGGGGACAGGAGCTGGAAGAGAAGCTCTGAGGAACTAGCAAACAACATATCCCTATGACTACCAGACTGGTGCAGTGTATTCCAGGCGGAGATATATGCAGTATGGCAAGCGGCAAATTTGGTATACACCTTGGAGGTACCTCCGAGGAACATAGCAATCTGCGTTGACAGTCAAGCAGCCATCAAAGCCCTGGTATCCTGCAAGACCAAAAGCAGACTCGTACGTGATACGGTGGACGCACTGAACCAGATCAGCGCGCATTCAATCACACTCACGTGGGTTCCGGGTCACACCGACAAGCGGGCAACGAGAGTGCGACGAGTGTGCCAGAACTGGATCGGCCAAGCCAATGGCGGACGCAGTCAGCGACATACGGAGGCCACTACGAGACATGGGCCGAGCAAGAACGAGATCGGACAGGAGGTGGAACACCTCACCCAACTGTGAGATCTCTTGCTCGCTTTGGCCCCACTATTACCCTTAAACCCACCAAGACTCTCCTAAGCTTCAGGAAGAATCGGGTGCGAACACTGACGGGAGTTATAACGGGGCACTGTGTCATCGGCCGCACGGCCACAAGGTACAGACTGCCCCACCATGACTTATGTCGCAGCTGCAGGAACGAGGAGGAAATAGAGAGCATCCATCACCTTCTCTGCAACTGTCCTGCACTCATAGGGAGGCGTCTCCGAATACTCGGCGGTGCTTTCTACGAAGACCAGGACTGCCTGGAAAACATGCCTCTAGAGAAACTGGTGCTCTTTATAGAGTCCTCGGGATGGTTTGCGAAACCTCCCTAGGCACCGGAAAATATCCCGTGACGAGTGTGAGCATCACAATAGGCAGACATGCCTTCGAGTGACCCCGACTTCGATCGAGCAGCCCTATAAACCTAATCTAACCTAAAATGTAAAAACCTTCCCTGTTTTTTGCTGTAAGGCAGAGACATCTGACGAACGTTACTGGCGGTGACGTTACCAAATTCCGAGATAAAAAAAGCCCAAAAATAATACTGTTGTTGGACAACTTTTCGGATAATTTCTTTTTAGGTAGTTCCATATGTTAGAAAGACTTAAAGGAGAAACTCTTATCAAGAATCATATTTTTCCTAGGAGATAATAGTAAAAGAAAACATGTCTATAAAAATACCAGAATTTACCAAAAACGTGAACTTTTGCTTATTTGAATAGGTTTTCGCATCAAAGTTAATGAAATTACATATCAATAAAGTAAATTAGTTACATTTCAATCAATTTGGAAATTTTATTGACTTTCCATGATTTTTGGCCTGGCGTAACGCCCATATGTACAATTATTGCAAACTCTAAGTATGAGGTAATGATCTACTCATCCGGGCTTTCCATTTTTGTTTTTTTTTTTTATTTGTGCATATAAAAAATGCAAGCACTGCCACAGCTACAAACTGTGGAAGGGTAATTCAATTCGTTTAGAAGAGGGAATACTAGGCTAAGAACTAAAATGACTAAGGCACGCCTGAATAGGTATTTAAATATTCTAAATTTATAACAGTAATAGCATTTAAGTTTTTCTTCATGGGATGGGAGCAGGTATGCAAAGACAACAGACACGAAGGCAAATACACTCCTCGCCACTGGAATACGACACCCTGTACATTCTCTATGTTTTTGCTAGTAAGTCGAGAGAGGAATTTTTAAGTGACGTTAACTGTGCACTTTATATGTGTGAACATATTGCTTTCTCGAATTGACAAATTACAAGCTCCAAAAATTATCCCTTATATGTTTTCGTTATGTTTGCACTTCTTCAAATTTCCACAAATATTGTCATTTATCGATATTTCAATAAATATCGAAAGGAGCCGACTTGTAGCTTTAGCTTATCGAGGAGGAACGTTTGAGTCGCTTCTGGGGACGCGACTCTACTTATACCCGTACTCAGACAGTATATACATTTTGGAGCTTATGATTTTTGAGAATTTTAGAATTAAAAAGAACATTTTACATGTTACATTTTTTTGCTACATCTGTTATCTACTTCTACAATGTATATTTTACATCTAACATGTAGATTATATATGTGCCATTTAGATTCTACAAGCAACTGAAAGTTCATTTTTATACCCGTACTCAAAAAAGAGTTAAGGGGTATATTAGATTTGTGGTAAAAGTGGATGTGTGTAACGCATAGAAGGAAACGTTTCCGACCCCATAAAGTATATATATTCTTGGTCAGCATCAATAGCCGAGTCGATATAGGCATGTCCGCCTGTCCGTCTGTCCGTCTCGTTGAGCGCCTGGATCTCAGAGACTATAAGAGCTAGAGAAACCAAATTTGGTTTCCATACTCATGTGATATCACACTGCTACAAGTGTATTTAAAAATTTCGCCCCGCCCTCTTCCGCCTCCACAAAGGACGAAAATCTGTGGCAGCCACAATTTTAAAGATACGATAAAACTAAAAACGCAGTATCGTAGAAAATGCCCATATCTACCAGATTACCGAATCTGAATTAGATCGTTTTTAGTTTTCTCGTATCTTCAAAATTGTGCCTGCCACAGATTTTCGTCTTTTGTAGGGGCGGTGCGAAATTTTGAAATACACTTGTAGCAGTGTGATATCACATGAGTCTGGAAACCAAATTTGGTTTCTCTAGCTCTTATAGTCTCTGAGATCTAGGCGCTCATCGAGACGGACAGACGGACGGACGAACAGACAGACAGACGGACAGGGCTATATCGACTCGGCTATTGATGCTGACCAAGAATATATATACTTTATGGGGTCGGAAACGTTTCCTTCTATGCGTTGAACACATCCACTTTCACCATCCCTTTACTCTTTTTGAGTACGGGTACGAAAAGTGGCGCACAGCACAAATCCACAGTACGCAAAGAAGTGAAGGATATAGGGCCTCTAATTTTCACCAAAAGCAAGCCAAGATAGAAGCATTCATCTTGGCGTAGATGAACCGTGTATATTCGTCCGAAAAAAAACATGCCCAGCCGATCTCACGTGATGATTCACTATAAATTTGTATCTCTCCATTTTTATAAGTATATATAGATGTATATAAGTATATTTTTAAATACTTTTTTTACATATTTTTTAAAACAAAGTGAATTCTATTTTTTTGCACTATGTTTTTTTTTAACCACATATTTAATTTAAATGTGTGTGTGTGTTCTTCTTTTTAACATTTTTTTTTTCAGTATACGGATCAAGAATATACCTACATAATACCTTACCAAGGCCTTGGTACTCTTGCAAGGGTACAAAACTATATAGTTTTTCCACAGCATTATAAAGATTTTAATTTTTAGACGCGCTAATTGATTTTTTATAACTTAAGAGTAAATTTCATTTCAAAGAAATTCGTACAGCTTTCGTCGATTTCAGATAAACCCTATTATTATTTTTTTATTTAGGTGACAGTCGCTAATCAGTATACTATAAGCGAGGAGGGAAGGGATTACTGATCGGGTATCTGTATTATCAGTTCATAGAGCCCGAATCCCATTGAGTTTTTGCGGTCATTGGAGTGCTTGAAGCTTTGGCCATTCAGTTGCTTTATCGACAGCACTTGGGCTGGGCGGAATAATTTAATTTTTCTGCGGTTATTCGTTGAAAGAAAGCACTTGTGCCCGAGATAAAGATGCAGTTCATGTTCATCCGGCTGATGGGATCAGTAATGATCCTGGCACTTTCTACGATTCGCGGAATTGGGGCTGCAGAGAACGGATTCCCAGTTTCTATAATACACATAAACGACTTCCATGCCAGGTAAGGTATTACAGGCCAAGCCAAGAGCCTAATAAAATTCAATCAAGTTTATGGTGCCTCACATCACGGCCACAATCGCGGAGCCGGCCGTAAACTACGGCAATTCATGCCCGCGGCTTATCGAAAACATTTCCCGCACTTATGTGAACCATGCTGATACCGATACTGATTCTGATAACGATACGGCCATGACAAAGATAGCTGATCCGAGTCCCAGTACCAGCCCAGTCACGAGTGGATTCTAATCCCGATTACGATCTCCAGATTCGAGCCCACGGACACGAGCGGCGGCGTCTGCGACAGCGACGAGGAGTGCATCGGGGGCTATGCCCGAACCGTATATACTGTAAAGCGCCTTCTCGAGGAGCAGAAGGAGTCCAACCCGATCTACATTAATGCGGGCGATAGCTTTCAGGGTACGCTCTGGTACAATATTGGCCGCTGGAACGTCACCCAAGAGTTCCTCAATATGCTGCCGGCCGACGCCATGGTGAGTAGGAGCGGAGGACAAAGACCCCTATGACCTGCAAATGGTTACACTAGTCAACAAAATCCGAATTTTCATACCCGGTACTTAAAGAGCTTAGGTATATATGTAGGTACATTTTAGTTTTTTTGTGGATGTGAATGTGTGTAATACCCAAAGGGAAGAGTTTAGGGGTATATTAGATTTGTGGTAAAAGTGGATGTGTGTAACGCAGAGAAGGAAACGTTTCCGACCCCATAAAGTATATATATTCTTGATCAGCATCAATAGCCGAGTCGATATAGGCATGTCCGCCTGTCCGTCTGATCATCTGTCCGTCTCGATGAGCGCCTACATCTCAGAGACTATAGGAGCTAGAAAAACCGAATTTGGTTTCCAGACACATGTGATATCACACTGCTACAAGTGTATTTCAAAATTTCGGCCCGCCCTCTTCCGCTCCCACGACGAAAATCTGTGGTAGGCACAATTTTGAAGATACGATAAAACTAAAAACGCAGTATCGTAGAGAATGCCAATATCTACCAGATTGCCGAACCTGAATCAGATCGGATCAATAGTATAGCCAGAATGAAAAAATTAAATTTCAGTTGCTTGCCCCGCCTCCTTCAGCAAGAGACCCGCTACTCATTCTCTTTCTCGCTCGCACACTCTGCCTCGTTATGTAGGCGAGCGCCCTCTAGCGAAAATATGTAGAATCTAAATGGTACATGTATAATCTACATGTTAGATGTATAATATACATTGTAGATGTAGATAACAGATCTAGCAAAAAATGTAAAATGTAAAATATTTTAATATTCTACATAAATCATGTTTTTTACTGACTGAGTATGGGTATAAAAGTAGCGTCGCGTCCCCATAAGCGACTCACACGTTCCTTCTCGTTTTTTTTGCTGATGGCTAGTGTTATCAATGATGTGTCCATTTCAGACCCTAGGCAACCACGAATTCGACAACGGGGTCGAGGGCGTCGTGCCCTTCCTAGAGACCATTGACACGAACATGCTGGTGGCCAACATGGACTGCGCCCACGAGCCCACCATGGAGGGTTTGTACAACAGTTCGATAATCATAGAGCGGGGAGGTCGCAAGATTGGACTCATTGGCGTCATCCTGGAGACTACATACGTAAGTAGTAGATCCACATGTGGCGACGTGGCGACCACGACTGAGTTCCGTTCTTATCCAGGACCTGGCTAACACAGGCAAATTGATCTTCCGCAATGAGAGCGACGCCATTCGCGAGGAGGCGCAGCAGCTAAAGGCTCAGGGGGCCAACATCATCATCGTAATCTCGCACTGCGGCTACGACGTAGACAAGGAGATTGCAGCTAACGCCGGTGACGTAATTGATGTAATTGTCGGCTCGCACTCCCACACCTTCCTGTACACTGGCGACCCGCCAGGTCCACACAAGCCAGCGGGCGACTATCCCACCGAAGTCATCCACAGCTCCGGACACCGCGTGCTCATCGTCCAGGCATCGGCCTACGCCAGATACGTGGGCAATCTGACCGTCTACTTTGACGACAACGGCGATGTCTTGGATTTCGAGGGTGCCCCGATTTACATGGGAGCGGAGGTACCGGAAGGTGAGTATGGGGCTATATAGCGATATCGCGCTCCGCAAGAGCCTTGGACTGATCCTCGGCCAATACTTCCGTGCGTTGTGATTTGTGTTCGCCGTAGATAAGGCCGTACTTGAAGTTATTCAACCTTGGAAAGAGCTCATAGATAAGCAGGGTAAGGTCGTTATTGGCACCAGCAAGGTGGATCTAACCAAGGACGACTGCGGTGCCGGCGAGTGCAACCTGGGCAGCTTTTTCTGCGACGCTATGGTGCATTCGGTAAGTTGAGGTCTCAGCTCAGTGCCGTCATTGGATTATACCTCACTCTCAAACCTTTCAGTTCATCGGACTGTCGCCTTTCGGTCAGAAGGCCTGGACAAATGTCTCCGCGGGCCTAATGAACATTGGTGGTCTGCGGGTGAAGCTCTCCCGGGGCAGTGAGTACATTGAGATGGCATGTCAAATGATCGTCATTGAGGTTTACAGCATTTCCTCCATACAGATCTCACCTACGCCCACATGATCAGCATGTCGCCGTTCGAGAACACGTTAGTGGCCTACAACCTTCCTGGTAGCAGACTCGTCGCGGCTCTGGAGCATGCGGTGAGCAAGATCGACCTAGAGAACGGGGTGGCCAGCTCTTACATTAACCTGCAGTTTTCGGGCATTAAAGTCAAATACGACTACACCAAGCCCGTATCCTCGCGAGTCGTTTTCGTCCAAGTTCGTTGCGCTGACTGCGAGACCCCCGTTTACGAGCCGCTGGATCCGTACAAGCTCTACCGTCTTACCTCGCCGGACTTTCTGCAACAGGGCGGTGATGGCTACACCATGCTGGCAGAGGGCACAGACATCCAGTACGTACGATCACCTCTGAATCTCTCAAATCTCTCAATCTCTACCCAATTACACTGGTCAATCTATTCGTTTACTCTTTGATTGCAGGAGGGGCGTAACGGACGTGGATGCTTTGATCTCTTACACGGCCCACATAGACCCCATCTACGTAGGTCTCGAGGGTCGCATCACTGTGCTCAACTGATTATTTCCGAGTCCAGAAATTGTCTCATCTGTAATTGCTTAACTTATCCCAATAAATCTATTTTTGTCGTACAAATAGAAAATCAAAATTTTCTTTATTCTTGAGATTCTTAACACTTGAAACTAAAGAAAGATCCTTATTGAAAATACTTATAAATGATATGACATAATTTGGCTTGATTTCAAGATTATGTGGTCCTGCAGGCCCTGCGTCCCTGGCAAGCAGAACTGGAAGCCGCATCCAATAGGATTGTGGGGCAGAGCCGTGTGTATCTGCAGCAGAGCCAGTGCTCCAAGGGGGAATGTAACCTTGGCAATCTTTACACAGACGCCATGCTGCATGCAGTGAGTCGACCATTCGCTATTCAGATTAAAGCAAATTTGTATTGCAAGTATCGTTAGTTTCTTAGGAATGCAAAGACTTCCGGGTCTAATTGGAGCAATGTCACCATTGCCATAACAACGCAGGGGAACTTCCGGGTGCCCATCCCAGCTGGCAGTAAGTTTTTCAAACGAGTTGCACCGAGAATTTAATTTGTCTATTTGAATCACCCAACAGACATAACATACAAGCAGCTGGTGGCCATGTGCCCTTGGGAGAATCGCCTGGTTTCCCTGACCCTGCTGGGCCAGCATATATGGGATCTGTTGGAGGACAGTGTGGTGCCCATGAACTCCAGCTCATCGGCGCCGAGGTCGTCCCGCTTCCTACAAGTGTCAGGACTCCGCATTAACTACAACCTAGCGGCTGCCTCTGGTCAACGTGTGGTCAGTGTGCGAGTACGATGCTCCAACTGCGAAGTTCCCGTTTACAGGCCCCTCAAACTAGCCAAGACGTATCGTTTAGTGGTCATGGAATACCTGGCCAATGGCAAAAACGGGTTCAACTTAATTAGCGAAAATGCTGGGCATCTTGAGTAAATACATTTTCGCATAGAAGCGAATTTCTAAATACAATTTTTTGTTTCCACAGGATGGGACCCTTCGACTTGGATTCCTTGATGAACTATATGCGCGCAGTTGGACCAATCATAATAGGCATAGAGCAGAGAATTAATTTTGTGAATACTTAGAGCTGCACTGGCTTGAACATAAAATTAATTTATTAAATTCAAACATTTTCATTAAATTTTGTTGTTAGCAGGGCCTGCCTTCCGTACAGAGCCTAGAAAACAGTTTTTGCCGTAAAAAATGTCTTATCGGTTTCATACGAATGTCAACCTTGATTCTCTTCGCTAGGTGTTTTTTTCGATCTGAGTACTAGGCTTAATATATAAACAATCCAATGAAAAAGAGTTCTGAAAACTAGCCAATCCTCAACAAAATACATTGAGGAATTGGATAAAATTATTTTTTGTAGGGCTGAGAGGGCCAACTATCTAGTAATATTAAACTGAATATCAAAATTGACGAATTTCATATCACAAAATATCAAGGCTTGGCAGCCCGCAGCAACTACGAATTGCACGAGTCTGGCAACGCCACAAAAACGACGTCACATTCGTTTTATGTTGTTTTTGTTTGAACTTTAATATGTAAATAATCCAATAAAAATGACTTCTGAAAACTTGCCAATCTTGTAGAATATTTATGTATCTATCGGATAAAGTTATTTGTTTAGGGCTGAGAGGGCCAACTAGCTAGTAATATTAAACGGAATATCAAGATCGAGGAATATCAACGTTGAATGTTTTGAAAAAAAACAATCAATACTATCGTAATAGTATCGGGCTCAAATAATTAACAAAAAACCATTGAAACCTTTAAGGAACTTGTCCATTGTAAAAATTATATGCCACCTGTCGATTTGTTTACAAAGTTGTCTTTGTATTTTAGAGCAGCCAATCCAAACATATGAAAAGCGCAACGACTGTAGCTCGATACTATCATGATAGTCTCAAAACCATCGATAGTAGAGGCTAGCAGCAAAATATCGATACGATCGATAGTGCCCTCTTTGGTTTGAACCCTCTTTTCGTCAGATATAACGCAACGTTGAATTTAGTCCTCTGTTAAAATACCTTGCTAATTCTATTAAAAGTAAGTTACAATTAATACATTTAATTACAACGTCATTCGAGTTGTCTGGTCTTTTTTGCCCGCAGCTTTCGCTGAATTTTGCTGTGTGTGTGTGTGTGTGTGTGTGTGTGTGTGTGTGTGGCGCGAGTCTGTTATATAAGAGAGAACAATCTAGGCAAAGACCCGGCAACTCGTGTTTTTATGACATTATTGGTTTCTTACGGAAATTTGTCTCGCGTTTATCATATTTTATAAATGGTAATAGAAAAGACTGCTCCTCGTACATGTCGCACGAACTTTCCACTGAACAGTAATGCTTGAGAGCCAAAGCACATGGTTTTCCCCCAATCGCCGGCATATCAACACAATTTAACATTTGTCACAGCGAATTGCATGTGGCCACTGGGCAGTCCAGGCAACGGCCCCGCCTCCTCGCGTCATATTCTAGTGTTTCGTAAGAGGCCTCTCGTCGGATTTAGTTGTATCTATTTTTTAACATGGGTTACATAAACGATGTCTTCTGGAATTCTCGGTGATGCTTCTGTTGCTTTTGGCCTCAAGCAATCGCTATCAATGGCCGGGTTCAGCAGGTCGATGGTGTCCCCCCCCCCTGAGTGAACTCTCAGCAAAGAAATCCACTTTTTTTTTTGTTGTAATGCAATGTACATGTACACACATAAGTAGGGATTTTTTTTGAGTTTGCATAAGCCAACCAACTAAATAATTGCATATCAAATATAAAAAGATTGTAAATAATCCACATAAATTGTGCGGGCACCACGTGCACATGCTTCTTGTTGGTTGATTCTCGATTCTCATCAACCATTAATCTCTCTCCATAGATGTTCCGCTTACCTGTTGCACTTTCGCGCACCTCCATCAGCCGCCAGCTGGCGATGCGGGGCTATGCAAAGGACGTGAAGTTTGGCGCCGAGGTGCGCGCCATGATGCTTCAGGGCGTAGATGTGCTGGCCGATGCAGTGGCCGTGACGATGGGACCCAAGGGTCGCAATGTGATCATCGAGCAGTCGTGGGGATCGCCCAAGATCACCAAGGACGGTGTGACTGTGGCTAAGTCGATCGAACTGAAGGACAAATTCCAGAACATTGGTGCTAAGCTAGTCCAGGATGTGGCTAACAACACAAACGAGGAGGCCGGCGACGGTACAACGACTGCCACAGTTCTTGCTCGAGCCATTGCCAAAGAAGGCTTTGAGAAGATCTCCAAGGGCGCCAATCCCGTAGAGATACGTCGCGGCGTAATGCTGGCTGTAGAAACCGTCAAGGATAACCTCAAGGCTATGTCGCGCCCTGTGAAGACTCCCGAGGAGATTGCCCAGGTGGCCACCATCTCAGCCAATGGCGACCAGGCCATTGGCAATTTAATCAGCGAGGCCATGAAGAGAGTCGGACGCGATGGTGTCATTACAGTCAAGGACGGCAAGACCCTCACAGATGAGCTGGAGGTTATTGAGGGCATGAAGTTCGACCGTGGCTACATCTCGCCCTACTTCATCAACTCTTCGAAGGGAGCAAAGGTTGAGTTTCAGGATGCTCTTCTGCTCCTTTCGGAGAAAAAGATCTCCTCGGTGCAGAGCATTATTCCCGCACTGGAGCTGGCGAACACGCAGCGCAAGCCCCTGGTGATCATTGCCGAAGACATCGATGGTGAGGCCCTGAGCACTCTGGTGGTGAACCGCCTGAAGATCGGTCTTCAGGTGGCCGCCGTCAAGGCCCCCGGTTTCGGCGACAACCGCAAGTCCACCCTAACAGACATGGCCATCGCTTCAGGTGGCATTGTCTTTGGCGACGATGCTGATCTCGTCAAGCTGGAGGATGTCAAGATAAGCGATCTTGGGCAGGTAGGCGAGGTGGTTATCACCAAGGACGACACATTGTTGCTGAAGGGCAAGGGAAAAAAGGACGACGTCCAACGTCGCGTTGACCAAATCAAAGACCAAATTGGCGAAACCACTTCCGAGTATGAGAAGGAGAAGCTTCAGGAACGCCTGGCCCGTCTGGCCTCCGGCGTTGCTCTGCTTCGCGTTGGCGGCTCCAGCGAGGTTGAGGTGAACGAGAAAAAAGACCGAGTCCACGATGCCCTGAATGCCACTCGCGCAGCTGTCGAAGAAGGAATCGTTCCCGGTGGTGGCACTGCCCTGCTCCGCTGCATCGAGAAACTGGACAGTGTGGCCGTCCAGAATGCCGATCAGGTAATAAGATTGGAATGCTTATCAATTATTGCAGCCTGAACTGAATTATTTTTACATTATTCTTCTTCAGACCCTTGGAGTGGACATCGTGCGCCGTGCCCTGCGCATGCCCTGCATGACTATTGCTAAAAATGCCGGAATTGATGGAGCCATGGTCGTGGCGAAGGTAGAAACTCAGTCGGGCGATTATGGCTACGATGCCCTGAAGGGCGAGTACGGCAACCTTATTGAGAAGGGAATTATTGACCCCACGAAGGTGGTGCGCACGGCCATTACGGATGCCGCCGGTGTTGCCTCTTTACTGACCACAGCCGAGGCTGTTGTCACTGAGATCCCCAAGGACGATGCTGCCCCAGGAATGCCTGGAATGGGTGGAATGGGTGGCATGGGAGGAATGGGCGGCATGGGTGGCATGATGTAAGCGAATCAGTCTATCTTTGAAGTCATGATGCAGGACGTCAGCAGAGGAGAAGCGAGCTGCACGATCGCCGTCGACTCTAAAACTCTACCACTCCAGCAGTCGCAGCGAGCCTCACCATTATCCTTTACGTTTGTGAATCCAGCTATTCTCATTCACACACACATTCTCTTCCCTGATGGAATTTAGTTTTGCTTTGCATTTATCCTTTGGCAAACATAGGAGACACATGAAAAGGCTGGATGCTGGCTCGCCAAAATTTCGTTCGCTTCGTCGTCGGCCGTCGCCTCCATTGTGCTCAACGTTTTTTTAACTATTCCTTAAATTTATTTTTTACATGTTATATATGTAAAGATACCGTTAGTTGTAAAATTTAAAATAAAGCAGGAGTTACATTGAGGACATTTAAAGGGTTTCGAACTCGATGTTCTAAAAATAGTATACGCTCGTTTGTAGTGTCTGGCGGACATCCACACTTTCACGTGTGTTTTTTTTTTTTTTTGGGAGAACAACGTGTTAAAAATTTATAGTAATGGGGGTATGGGTAGGCACGGGTGCGGGTGAATGGGTCCGTTACCGCGGGACTGCCGCTAGGCATTACTTCGCGGTGCGGACTGTGGGGTCATCAGCCGGATTTAGTCGGTCCGGCTTCGCTCCAGCCTGCGCAGCTCCTTCATCACGCATGCTGTCATGTTGGCGACCGCGTTCCATGATCGCTCATCGGCTAGCATCTGCTCTGTGAGGGTGTCAACATTGACTTCCGCTAGTGTCTCCCCTACCCTCCCTCGCTCTTGCGAGAAGCGGGGGCATTAGAAGCAGACATGCTCTGCATCCTCTTCGACTCCAGGCCCGCAGTAGCTGCAGTATGGGTCGTCAGCATGTGTAAAACGATGCAGGTACTGCTTGAAGCAGCCATGCCCCGTTAATAGTTGGGCCATATAGTGGTCGATCTGGCCTCTCCGTCTCTGCAGCCATGTTCTAAGCTGGGGGATGAGCCGTCTGGTCCACCTCCCCTTTTCCGCTTGGTCCCAGCGTCTTTGCCACAGGGATATGCTGCTCTCTCGCCGCTCGCTGGCTACCGCCATTCCGCTTTGGCACTCATCCGCCAGGAGATCCAGTTTGACCATGCCTGCTACAACCAGGGCGGCGTCTTCGGACACCGTCCTGAAGCAGCATGCAACCCTGAGTGCACAGCGTCGGTATGCGCTCCTGCTCTCTCTGCTATAAGTAGGCACCCTCATTGCTGGTGCCCACACAGCTGACCCATATAGTATAATGGAGGTGACCACACCGGCGATGAGCTGTCTGCTGCTCTGCCGTGGTCCTCCAGTGTTGGCCATCATCCTGCTTATGGCCGCCATTGCTGTAGCTGCCTTCGCGCTGGCGTATTCCAGGTGTGCCTTGAAGTTTAGCCTGTGGTCTGCAAACGATTTGACGGGCTGTCTTAAAATTGAACGCTTGCTTCACTCTTGAGGTTCGCCAAAAACGCACATACATATGTGTGTACATATGTACATTCATATCTATTAGAGGCCCGCATGAACAGGCAACCGAATCGATTTGTTGGAATTGATTTGATGTTTGTGATGGATGTGGATGTGGATGTGTGTGTAACGCCCAGAAGGAAGTGTTTCCGACCACATAAAGTATACACACATATGAACATATATACATATGTATGTATATATTATTGATCAGCATCAAGAGCCGGTCGATACAGCCATGTCTGTCTGTTCATTTGTGCAGAGCGGCCCCACAAATAGCGATTATCTGTGAAATCTACAGTTTGAAAGGATCATTAAAGCCAGAATAAACAAATCAATTTTCAGTGTCTTCGCTACCCCTTCTACATACTCGCATGCTCATTTTCTCTCTTGTGCACACTCTCTTTATCGTGCGGCTTAGAACGGATGATGTTGTTGTGAGAAGAAGGGAGAGACAATAGGTGGAAAGATGGAAACGAAGTGCAAGAATTAACATTAGAACATTGCTAGCGAGATCCCCCACCCCCAATTAACTAACCATTCAATTCGTCCCTTTTGCGAAGAGCGATACTAAAAGATAGCTATGTACATATATACATATGTATGTAGATAGAGAGAATGCGGCGTAATCGGCTCCGATATTGGTGCATCCGGTGCATCCAAGCGAACTCATTCAATCAAACTCTGTAGACGTAGCACTTTATTTCCCCCAATTCATTTTGAGCATTGTTAATTTGAATGCAATGGCGCTTTTTCCGCTAACTGTCTATCTGTATTAATACATATAAATATGTACATGTACATACATATACATATGTATTTATATTTTCACTGAATGAAACCTAAACAATTTAGGTGGGGCCCATGGTACCAAATATCTACATACATACATATGTATGTACATATGTACATGTATGCATATCGAACTGTTTTTGCGAAATGACCGTAATGACCCCAAACAAACAACAATGAAGAACAGCATGAACAGGATAATTTATACATATGTATGTACATATGTACGTACATGTGTATATATATATACATATGTGTGTGTTGCTGTACATATGTATGAAGATGTGTCAAGGAGATGCGGCTTTTTTACTTGTGCTCAAATCTGTATATTTGTCGCTTTTCGCTTTTTTGTTTGTTTTATTAATTATAAATACAGTTAATAAAAAAAAACCTAAATAATGTAACGCTTAGATGTTTAAAAGAAAGAACAAATGTTTTTTATATACTCGTACTCCGCATGCGGTTACAGAGGAGGTCGGCCCCCTGCCAAAAATAGAAGGGAGAGAAGAGGAGATGCTGCTGTTCTGTTCTGTTCTGTTCTCCTGGTGATGGCGAGATGGCAATGTCGATGACGATAACGATGAGCGACGACATAATGGCAGTGACAGTATGTGATCATTTATTGCAGCCGATGCCGCCTCTTAGGCCTATGGCTATGGCTATGATTGACTTCCATCCGCTACCGCTACCGCTACCACTCCACCTCCTAGCACTTGCGCTTGGGCGTGCGACGCTTCACACCGCAATTTTCGACCTTTTTACTGCCCTTGGCGATGGCCAGCAGCTTGACCAGCTTCTTGTGCGAGTCCCCCACGATCCATCCGTGCTTCTGGTACGGCTCGCTTTCCTCAAAGTGCTTTCCCGCCAGCGGCTCTGGATGCTGTCGCTCCTGCTTCTGTTGCTCCCTCAGTACCGCTGCATCTGGGTCAAAATCGGCCTCAACGCGACCGAACTCGTCGTCGCTGGAGCTGCTCCAGTAGTACAATTGCTTCTCGCTCGCCGGCCGCTTTCGCCTTGCTGGTGACTGTTTGTTCGTCTGTGACTTCCGCTTCGTCTTCAGATTCTTGTTGCTGCTGCTGCTATTGTTGTTGTTGTTGTTGTTGTTGGTATTGGCTGTGGCGGTGGAGGAGGAGCTGCTCCTGGCTGCCGGAGGAAGAGGAGGAGGAGGAGGAGGAGGTGGTGGTGCTATACTATTGCTGCTTCGGGACTTAGTCCGCTGAGTGGTTGACATAGGAAAGGGCTGCGGCTGAAGCTCAGGTTGCCGCTGTGATGGCTCTTCCATTAAAATGACTTGGAGGGCTCCAGCCGGTGGCGGTGGCGGTTGCGGTGGCGCTGGCCTGTCCTTGATCTGCTGCCTTGAGCTGCGCGTCCTAGCAGGTGGCTCCGTTTTGGGCTCCATCGACTTGTCCCTGTCGTTCTCTATGCCGTTGCCGCGCCTTTTCCTGGAGCTAGCAGACTTCGCTGCTGGAGTCTTAACCTTGGTGGGAGCTTTCGATTTAGATTTTGGTGCAGGGGCAGTCCGAGGATTCGGGTTAGCTCGCTGCCGTGCCTTAGCTGTAGTCGCCGGCTTTGGATGATCCAGCACAGGCACAGGCACAGGCAAAGGCACAGGCACTGCAACAGGCAGAGGCGGCTTCTTCGCGGCACTTTTCTTCCGCCTGGCGATCACGGAGGGCGTTGGGGTCTTCTTGGGTGCCGCCTGCGCCCAAATTGGCTCTAGCTGGTTGGCGTTTGCTTCGCTCGTTTTGCGCTTGCGACGCTGCTCCTGCTGTTCCTTTTGCTCGATGAGGGCTATGATGTCCTTGGTGGAAAGGAACTCCTCATACTCGTCCGAGCTCCACGTCTCCACCAGCTTCTTGGGACGGTTGGTTGCACAACGGCGCTTCGACTTGCGCTGGCCCTCGTCGATCAGCTGCTCGATCTCCTCCGGGCTCATTCCCAGCTCCGACTGCAGCTTGCTCAGATCCTTGCGGGGCTTCCTAGAGGCTGATGGAGAGGAGGCCGAGGCCGAAGCCGAAGCAGAGACCGAAGGCGAGGCCGAAGAAGATGCCTCTGGCGGCTTAACAATGTTTTTGGGGAAGTTAGCTGGAAGACATATTTTGGTCTTTTTAGTCCTGCGCGGCAGTCCACTTGGAGCGGGCATAGCTGCTGGGACAGTCGGAACTGCCGGCGCTGCCATGGGCTCCTGGTGATGGTGTGGGTGGGGTTGGGTGTGTGGTTGGTGATGATCCCTATCCCAATTCTCCAGCCCCACAGGGGACTCTACCTCTGATGCCTTGGCCGCACCTCCACCTCTGAGCTCATCGAAGATCTGGTCAAGATTGGCCTGGTTCTTCGGCAACGCCTTAATCTTGGCCAACGCCGGTCCTGCCATCGGACTGGGGAGCTGCTGCACAGGAGTTGCTGCTGCTGCTGCTGCTAATGCTGCCTTTGTGCTGGCGTGCTTGAAGATGCGGCCCATAATTAGGGATTTGTTCTCGAATGTCTTGGCCGTGGCTCGGCTGGAGCTGCTGCTGCTGCTCCTACTGCGGGTGTTCTCATGCGACGAGGATGAGGACGTCGACGAGCTGGACGAGGACCCAGCCCTTTCCTCAGCACCTGGCGGCACCTCCACCGGAACTACAGCCCCCTTCCTGACTCCACATCGGGTCCCTGGTTCCGGCTCCTGCTCCGCCTCTGGCTCCACGTCGCCGTCGCAACTCAGAGTGCCAAAGTCATAGTCATCACGGTCCGAGTAGCTGGCGGTGGAAACGCTGTTGTTGTCCTGCTCTTGGAGCAGATTCACGCATGTCTTCGGCTTCTGGAACGTAATGCTGGCCTTCTCCTCCAGTCCGATATTTTTGAACGGCCGCTCCGGTATGATGATCCGACCGCAAGCGGGCGGCAGTGTCGCCGAGCTGGCAACGCCCGCCACTGCCTTGATGATGGACGCATGCATCATCGTCTTTGATGAAGTCGAGCTCTGCTGCTCCACCGGCCGCGTCGGCGTTGGCGTCGTCGTTGTCCGAGTGCCTGTGTGCGTACCAGTGGGCGTGGGCGTTGGCGTTGGCGTCGGTGTCGGTGTCGGCGTCGGCTGTGAATGGTGATGGGGATGCGAATGCGAATGGGAATGGGGTAGGGGCTGTGGTTGCTGTTGGTGCATATGGTGTTGGTGTTGCTGTTGGTGTTGCTGTTGGTGACTGGCTGACGGGGCGGCAGCCACAGCTGGAACGCCGGTGCCGGGCAAAATCCCTTGTGAAAGGTGGGGCATGAAGTCACCGCCGGGCTTTTCGCTGCCCAAGGCGATGTCCGCCAGCTCTGTGAGCTTGCAGACGCCACGCCCGGTCTTAGCCAGCTGCAAGTCCACAATATCCAGCTGCAGGTTGACGTTCTCATACCCCTTCATGGCGGCTTTCGTCTTGAAGCGCGAGGTGGTCGCCGAGAACTGCGAGATGGCAGAGTAGCTGGGCGACATCCGATTGTGGTTCCTGCTGGGAGAGAGAGATTTAGTCACGAGGAACAGGAAGCAGGAAGCAGGAAGCTGGAAGCTGGAAGCAACAAGGAGCAATGGCATACGACTTACGTGGGAGTTGTTGTGGGTGTGGCAGCGGGTGGATTGCGGAACAGCTGCTGGATGACCGGTTGATGGCAGACAGTGGGTGCAGCTTCTTCTGGCGTTCTCGCTGCACCATGTGAAGGTGGAAACGGATACGGAGGCGGATGCGGATGCGGAGGCGGCGTCGGAGACGAAGGTGGCGGTGGCGACGGTGAAGCTGGAGGCGATAGCGAGGGAGACAGCGAGGGCGAGGGCGAGGCTGGAGGCGATAGCGATGGCGATGGCGATGCCGGAGGCGGAGGTGATGCATGCGGCGGTGGCGGCTGTTTCCGCCCGGCAGTAACGATCACGGACGTCGTGGCCGGAACGGAGGGGCTTGAGGGGGGTTGAGCTGAACCGGCAACAGCGGCCGCAGTGGTGGAGCTGGACAGGCGAGGTGTCTCCGCACTCTTGAGGATGTTGCAGCATTCGTAGAAGAGACGCTCGTCTGGGTTCAGATTGAGGCGGGCGGCGGAGGTTCCCGACGGACTGTGCTGGTTGTCGTGTAGCCGCAGACTAGCCTCAGTGATGACATGATGCACTTGCTCATTCAACTGCTGCTGCTGCTGCTGCTGCTGCTGCTGTTGCTGTTGCTGCTGCTGCTGCTCCACATGAGGGATGATTTGGGAGGGCGGCACCAAAACCGAGGCACGAATCTGTTGTGTCGGACGGGTCGTCGTTTGCTGGTTCACTTGTATTTGTTTTTCCCCGCACCCACGCCCCTGCGCCTGAGCCTCTGCTCCAGCTCCAGGTCCAGTTGCACTTCAAGGACGCGTGGACTCGATGGCGCCGTCTGGGACTGAAGGTATTCCTGCTCGGAGAGCTTGGATACGTGGGCCAGGGTCATGTTATGCTTGGACAGAGAAGTGGCCGTGAAGAAGCTCTTGCCGCACAGGGAGCACGAGTACTTTTCGGTATCGACGTGGTTCCGCTGCGTGCGCTTCTTGGGCCGGGTGAGGAGGACGCTACGCCGCCTCCGGCGTCGCCGACCACGCCCGCCGCGCCCCAAGTCCTGCGAGTAGCTGGTGTAGACGCTCATCTCGTCGTCCAGGTCCATTTCCATGAGCTCCGTGTTCGTGTTTTCGTCACACATGGAGCCGAAGTTGGAGTGCTCGTCGTTCAAGTTCGGCGCACTGCGCACGCTCATGGACGTGGGGGGGCGGTAGAACTTTTCCTGGTCGGGATCCATATCCATGCGGCCGTCCTGCTCCCCCTGGTCGAACTCGTCGTGGGCAAACTCGAAGTCCTCGTTGGTGGTGGCCGACATGATCTTCTCGTTTACGTTTTTCGCTATCTCCGTGAGGTAGTTGTCCTCCTCCTCAACGTTATCGCCCGCCGCTGGCACGCTTGGCGTCGCTGCCGGTGCCCTGGTTGGGGGCTGCACATGCTCCTGCTGCTCTTTGTGTATGTTCTTATTTAGGCGAGGATCGCGGCTGAATGTGGCCGCCGTAGCCGGAATTGTCCTCTCCTTCTCCAGTTCCAGTTCCAGTTCCAGCTCCGCCTCCCGCTTCTGGTACATCTGCTTCTTGGCGGCGCTGCTCAGGATGCTCGGCCGCAATATGGAGACTGCTGGCGGCTGGCCGGCGCTCTTAAGTGCCGGCAGGGCTGCCGCATCTTTGGCCTCTTTGGCCTCCTTGGCCTCCTTGGCCTCCTTGGCTAGTAGCTGCTTTTCGATCCCGATGGAGAAGGACTCCAGTGTCGACTTGAGCATGCTGATATTCTCGTTTGTCGCCTTTCCGCCCGCCGCCTTCCCACGGCTGCGGTAGTAGCAGCTCTGTCGCCGCTTCGGTCTTCCTCGGATAGGAGGCGCCGGAGCTGCCTCTGCCGCCTCTTTTGCAGTCGAATTGCGAGACAGCTTCGATGTGGAGGTGGAGGTGGAGGTGGGGGCCATTGCTGCGTTCCGCTTTGTGCTGGACATGAGCAACATGCCTGTCAGCAGAAGATCCTCGCTCTTCTCGTATGCCAGGTTCTCCAGCTTCTTGAGGTTATCTCGGCGGGCGTTGTCGATCTTAAAGCTCTCCAGCAGTTGGTCGGCCACAATGGCCGCCAGCTCGTTCTTCCTGCGGCGCCGCTGCTTCTTTTTGGTGACGGGCACCAGCTCCTCCACCACCTGCTGCTCCACCTTCTGCTCCTCCTTTGCGGGCAGTTCTTCTGTCCCCTCCAGAGTGCTAGCCGCCGTGGCCGACTGATCCTGGCCACTGGGCAGCTCGGACTGCGCCAGGCTGTGGAAGCCCGAGGAGGTGTTGTTGTTCATGTTGCTGCTGTGCTCCTCCAGCAGGGAGCTGCAGTTCGTCTCGACCGTGGGCGTTGGCGTCACAGCCATGCGCGGAGGCAGTGCTGGAGCAATGGAAATCACGGACACGGCCACAGAAGGTGCCGACAATGGAAGCGTCTCCACAACAGCAAAAGGTTCTGGAGCAGACCGAGCATGCACCTCCAGCTCCAGTTCCGGCTGCAGCTCCTGCTCCTGCGCCTGCTCCTGCTCCTGCTCCAGCTTCGGCAAATGTTCATTTATACATTGAGCTGGAGGAGGTTCAACAACAGTCGACGGGGCCTGAGCGCCCATCCCAGGTTCCTGGGATGCGGGTACGGGTACGGGAACGGGAACGGAAACGGAAACGGGACCGGGAACGGGAACTTTCGAATAAACCGCAAGCAGATGTGCATCTGCCTTCGCCTCTCCATTGACTGGCGGCACTGACTGCAGCTGAAGGCACTGCAGCAGTGGTTCAACCGGGAGCTCCTCGATGGCGAGTAGCGCGGAGCGGCAGTCGATGGTCTTGGAGCGCATGGAACGCTTCTTTGGCGTCAGCAGAGTCTTCTCTGGTGTCGTGATCTGAGGTGGAGCAGCCGTGCCGGCTGAACTTGCCAGCACCTTCTCCACCATCGAGGACGAGGTAAATAACATGCCAGTGGTGGTGGCTGTGGCTGCCGCTGTAGCTGTAGCTGTGACTGTCGCTGCGACTGCGATTGCAGCTGTGGCGACGATGTTGTTGGTCGGCCTCGTCGGATGAAGGACTTTTGATGGCAGGTTGAAATTCCTTTGCCTCTCCCTCTCCCTCTCTCTCTCCTTTTCGCTTTCCCTTTCTCTCTCCCTTTCTCTCTCCTTTTCCCTCTCCTTGTCATCGTCGTCAGGCAGACTGGCTTGGACCGCCATGATGACCGAATTGATTGCGTCGTCAATGTGATTGTTGACCACCTCATCCATGCGCAGACATCCCTTTGCCAGCCCCTTGCCGCCGTACTCCTTCTTGCCGCCCGACGCCTCCACCCAGCGTTTCTTTCCGACTGCTTTTGGCAGATGCACAGGGATAGCGGCAGCGGCACTGAGGATCACATTGGATGGGGAAATTCCAGTGCCGGTGCCGGTGCCAGTGCCAGTGCCGGTGCCAGTGGCCGTGCCAGGTCCCGTCCCCGTTGAAGTCGCAGTCCCAGGATTGCGCACTTGGGGTATCTTGAGCAGGTCCAGGTTGGAGTAGTAGTGCGAAGCCAATGAAACCGGTCCGAGAGCTGAACCTGCACCTGCACCTGGCCCTAGAACAGGAACTGGAAGAGCTTGGAGTGGGGCAGATGATCCGGCAGGAGTTGTTACCAAGGGAAGCGGCAGAGGCATCTGCATCGGCATTTGCATCGGAATCTGCATCGGCATTGACATTGGCATTGACATCTCCTGGGGAACCCTCATTGGAGCCGCACCCGGAGCTGGTGAAGATTTCCTCGCCGACTTCTTGGACAAGTCGAGCGGCTCCATGTCCATCTCCAGGCCCAGCACGTTGCGAGTCTCAAATCCGCAAATAGTCTGCCTCCGGGCAGGCATTCCACTCGAGCGTCCGTGATGCAGTCCAGTGTGGCAGCCGTCGCGTTCGGTGCTTGGCAGCATTGGCTTCTGGAGGCATCCGCGTTGGCTGGTCAGGTTGAGGGGCTGAGTCTCCATCACATACATGCTGGGATTGACGTTTGGATTCGAATTTTGATTTGCATGTGGATGGAGCTGTGCATGTGACAGATACAGGGGGAGCTTTGGCAGCAGATTCATGGTGCCATGCACGGAAACGGAAACCGAGCCCGAGACCAGGACCCGCACCTGCCAACGGAGCTCCCATCCCCTGCAATCCCAGAGGCATGGACATGGGCATGGGCATGGGCATGGGCACCAGCGCGGACAATGGTTTTGGTTGTGGTTGTGGCTGTGGTTGTGGCTGTGGTTGTGGCTGTGGCTGCGGTTGTTCTGCTGTATATTGCTTGAGGGCAGCAGCCGTCGGTGATGGTGGAGTCGGGGCCGCCAATTGTTTGCTTGCCGCCTTGGTGGGGGTTCTCCTCGGAGTGGACCCCAAAGCGGGAAGTGCAGAGGGAACTGGAAGAACCAGAGCGGGGGCAGGAGTTGGCTGAAGAACAGGAACAGTAACTGCAACTGAACTGCAACTGGAACTGGAACTAGACCAGCTAGAGCGGGAGCTGCAGCTGGAACTGCAGCTGGGACTGGCTGTGAAACTGCAGCCTTTTTCTTCTCCAGAGGCTCGGAGGCTGGCTCTGCATCGGGCCTGGGCCCCAGTGGGGTATCCACTTTGACGATGCGCCTGGACATAGCCTTCCGCTTGGGCGTTTTGGCCTCCAGCAGCTCTTTCCCTGCAACAGAGTTCGAGGGAAGCGTCGTCTCTGTATGCATATTGCAGTTTTTCTCCTCGTTTTTTTCGGGGACCGGCGGCGGCGGCGGCAGGGGCCGTGGCTGGGGCGAGGGCTGGGGCAGTGGTGTTGGTGTTGGTGTTGGTTGTGACGGCACCTGCTCAGTCTTCAGCTTTTCCTCCAGCTTTCCAGTGAGCATGGCAATGCAGTCGCTAATCCTCTTGCTGCGCTTCACCCCTGCATTTGAGCTGGGCTGCCGACTGTTGACCGAGAGTCGAGGAGTATCTGGCAAGGACTTGATGCCCGGAGCAGGAGTGGTCGGCGGCGTGGGCATCAGCTGCTTGCTGGGCGTGGGCGAGGCAGCTTCCCGTTTCTCGTGCCTTGTGCATCGCTCCAACTCCAGCTCTTGGCTGGATGCTGTGGGTGGGTGAGGCACCTGATCACCTGTTGAAGCTGTATCCGGATCCGCAACTTGAAGGATTGCCAGCGTTGGCTTGGCCTCAACGGGAGATCTTAGATTGGCAGTGAATGTGGCTCCTGGCTTTACCTCCGGTTGTGGCTGTGGCTGTGGCTGTGGCTGCGGCTGCGGCTGCGAATTGGCCTGTGACTCTGACTGAGCCTGCGGTTCTGATTCTGATTCAATTGTTGACAATGGAAGGGGTGTGCCTTCTGATCTGCAATCCCCTTCTGCGATCATTTTGGATTTCTTTTGCTGCTTCTTCTGCAGTTTCTGTTGCTTTTGCTGTTGCTTGCGTCGGCAGCGCTTCTGTTGCCCTGCTGCCACTGCAGCAGCGGACGCGGACGCGGCAGCCACCACCGAGGACCGGGTGTTGCGAAGGAGGTGCTGATTGTATATCTTCCTCTGTGTGCTCCTCTGCTGCTTCGACTTGGACATGGACATGGACATGGACTTGGACTTGGACTTGTTCTTTGACTTGTGCTTGGCCTTGTTGTCCACGGGGAAGATCTTCTTGCAGACGCGCTTAGGGGGCAAGTTCTCCAGCATTTTACGTATGGACTCAGCTTGAGGAGGATAAGAAATGGGAATCAATTTAAATCAGTTTCGCGGCAATTCTGCATGGTTTTGGTACTCACCATCGCTGGGTCTCTGGCGGGGCGAGTTCTTCATCTTCGATGAATTGGAGCCACTCTCCTCGCACTCGCCCTCGCCCTCTCCCTCGCCCCCTCCTCCTCACCATCGTCCTCATTCTCGTTCTCAGCCTCTCCCTCGGCCTCTAGAGAGTCCTCAAGTTTTTCCTCAAGCTTCTTCCTGCTGGACAACTGTCTGAGCGGCTTCTTGGAGCAAGGGCGACGCTTCTTGGTACCGCAGTAGTAGCGATATTTTCGCTTCTTAGCCAGCGACCAGATGTAGTCACCAGAGCAGTCCAGCATGTGGCGGTAGAGATCCATAAGGCCGCTGCACTTTCGTCCGCACTTCGTGCAGCTCGATGGAGGAGAAGAGGATGAAAGCGTCGACGATGTGTTGGCTGTGTTGCAAGTGGAGGTAGAATGGGAATGGGAGTGATAGGTGGAGGATGAGCTTAGTGAACAGGACGAGGAAGAAGTTGTCCCGGTCCCGGAAGCGGGAGATGCCTGCTGCTGTTCCAGGCCGGACATGGGCGTCGGCGTCGGTGTGTTGGTCGGTGTGGAAGCCTCAAACGACGACCTGGAAGAGGTGGACGAAGAGGTGGTCTCTTCCTCGGGCTGGACACGCTCCTCCTGCTTGTGCTGCGGCCAGCCAATGCAGTTGCTCTCCGCCGCGAAACGGCCCAGCGCACGCTTGGGTATGAAGAGGTGGCGCAGCAGGTTCCCCGCCAGCAGCTCCCTGCCCACCACCTCGTAGTGCGTGGCATAGATGTGCGAGTGACGGAACGTCTTGTGCTCCTCCAGCGATTTTCGCTGGTCAAACTTGGCTCCGCAGCATATGCACAGATAGAGGCGTGGTCGCGCCCATTCTCCACTCAGCACCAAAGAGGATAATGTCATTTTCTTGTCCTGGTCCTGCTCCCGTTCTCGGTTTCGGTCTAGCTCCCTCATCCTGTCCGGGCTGGTCCCTTGCCGCGGCTGCAACTGAAGCAGAGAGAGAAAACTCTCGTCGGCAAAGTTCTGGGCCAGCAGATCGTCCTGGGCGCCCTGGACACTTCCGTAGTCCACCAGGTTGGCGTCCTCCTCGTTCTCGCACTTGATTATCGCCTGCTCGTTCTGCTCGAGGATGATGTGCGGCAGGAGACGATGGTCCAGAATGAGATTAAGCTGCTCGAGCAGACGCTGCTGCTCCAGTTGCATGTGATTACCATCCCCATCTCCACCATCTCCACCATCCCCAACACCACCACCACCACCACCACCACCATTGTAGGTGCGGGCGATGGCGAGAGAGACATCGTGCTTCTGGCGCATCGTCAGCTGCGTCCACATATCCAGCTTGGAGAGATCGCGGAGGCCAAGGAAGGTGGGCTGCTTCAGCTTCTTCACCAGCCGCCCGCCCTCGTTGATGATGGTAAACTTCTTCACATAGTCCCACTTCCACTTCCAGCTGTGCTTCGTGTGGGGCCGACGCCGGAACTTGGCCGGGGGCAGCAGCTCTGCCGTCGAGCCGAACTGTTCCGATGTCAGCAGGGTTGGGTAGGCACTGGCGTGGCTCATTTGACTAGAACCATGCAGCATGACCAGGTCGGATGTGAATGTGGCTGTGGCTGTGGCTGTGCCTGTAGATGTGGAGCCAAAGCCAAAGCCAGAGCCAGAGGAGCTGCTTGAGGTTGATGCTGACATTATGGGGGAGGTGAGGAGCCGTCCATCGAGATAGTTCTGCAGATTCTGTTGGACATTCAGGATGACATCCTTGTAGAAGTTTTCATCAAAGACATGCGAGCTGGCGCTGATGTTACTGCTGGAGCTGACTGCGACACAGGCTGAGGAGCTGGGCTGCCGGAAGACAACATCAGGAGCTGCATCCAGATGGTCTAGCACATGGCCTTGTCCCACGGGCTGAAGGGTAGTCGCCGTCATATGCTGCTGGTGCTGGTGCTGCCGCTGGGCTGCCGCCCGACTGCTGCTTCTTGACTTGTGGGGCATAGCCAGGGACGGCTGCTCGTCGTCTCCTGCTCGCCGCTGCCTGTTGCGATGACTGGGCAAGCGGTTCTGGGTGAGACCAAGGCGGAACAACACCGGTTCGTCGGCTCCCATCAGTCCAGGCCTCGGCGATGGTAGCTCCTCGAGCTGGTGCTGCTGTCGATGGTGCCCGGTTAGCTGATCGGCGTCCTGAAATCGCAGTCGGCACGGATGGCAGCCAAAGTACTTGTCTGCGTGCATCTGCATGAGGTGGAGGAACAACTGATCCAGATGCTTGACGGGCAGACAGATCTGTGGCAGCATCGAATGCTTCCTGTTGCCAGAGCAGTGCTGGCAGCCGGGAAATCCTCCGGGCGGATGGGAGCTCACGGAGCTGCTGGTGGAGCGGCCGCTGCAGCGTCTTTCCTGTCGCTCCGTGTGGAACTTTTCCACATGCTTGCCCTGCAGCTTGCCAGAGGCGAACTTTCTATCACAGTACAAACACAAGACTTTCTTTAGGTTGGAACCCGACCCCGAACCAGGGCCAGAATCAAAGTCAAGGTCTCTTTCCCGCGGCTGTTCCTCTATGAGAAGATGAAGCTTCTCCACCAGACGAGGCAGACGCTCTAGCGGTAATCTGCAGATCAGAGATGGTTGTTGCTGAGCACTTGGCCCCTGTTCTTTTGCATTTTCCTGTTCCTGCTCCCCTTCCAGTGGCAGTGGCAGTGGTAGTGGCTGTTGCTGCTCCTCTTCCTCGTCGTCTGGTTCATGTCTGAGCTGGCGTTTCTTCCGTCCGGATGGACCAGCTGCCGACGGTCTGATTGCCGCTATTGGTCTAATTGGATTTTTGCCATTGACCTGCTCCTCGGACATCTTAAAGCCCCGGCGCAGGCCGAAGCGCGACATTGTCTTCATGAGGAAGCCACTTGATTAACCAATTCGTTGCACAAATGTTATATTTATATTTCTGCAAAAGGAGCAAATACAATATATGTAATTCATTTTTATTTTGTATTTTTTTGTTTTTGTTTTTGTTTTTGTTGACAAATAAACCGCAAGTATCAAAATACGAAGAAGAAGCAGAGACAGAAGCAAAAGATGGAAAAACAATAACTACACAACACACACGCAGACACACTACACACAACACACACACACACACACACACACACACACAAGCATATCCACTCAGAAACAACTCTAAAAAGAGTGCTTGAGCCACACACAGTCACAGTCATGGGGTGGAATATGAACCTGCATACATACATATACATATCTGTACAATAAATATTTGATAATTTTATATTTATTGTGTTTACCCGTTTACGTTTATGATTTAGAAAAAACTGCATGTGCCGCCTTTTGTTTCAATTTGTTTATTTCGATTGAGGCTCGTTTGATTCCGTTTTATTTGTAGATGCCCCTGTGTGGTATTGCACTTTAATTCGTTTTCCCCCGAGTGGCGTCCAGCCCACTTGCACCGGATATTGTATTTTAATTTTTTCTCAAATAATAGATCGCACAGCATTGCATTTGTTTTATTTATTACGTACTTATTATTTTTTTCCACCCTAACAACTGCGTTAGGAGGTATCTAACGTTTAGCCCAAATCGATGCGTGCGTAGAGCAAAGGAACGGACAGGGGCAGGGGCAGAGGCAGGGGCAGCAGACGACGACGGCGGCGATGGCAGCAGGACGACGATACTGTCACTGAGGAGTATGGCAGTGGTGAACAAGAACGATTTTTCTCTCTTGCACAAGAAGCAGCGGCGGCTGCAGGTAGCATTTTTATCCATTTATTATATATTAACGCTATCCCATTAATGGGTGCGTGCACTTGTTATCCACTAATTCAATTTAACTAGTTAACTCATATATATATATTTTTCACGCACGCACAACAGGATTTGTTTCATCGCACATGAAAAATTTAGAAAAGAACACTTTCATGCTGTTGCGTTAGCAACACTTTTTTCGACTTTATGCAGCACTGCAAGTGTCGGCGGCATCGATTATTATATACTGTGACGTCACACATTCGCAACTATCGACTATTATATTGTATATCTATTGATTCTAGGATGCTTGATTTTATTAAAAACTTCTATTAACTTTTTAATGTTTTTACTGTTACTGGTTGTGCATTATTAGCGCAATTTTATCGGGAAAAACAATCAATACTCGATACATCGACAGATTACATCGATCCTTGCATTCTTTGGCAGCCACTTTTTACATATTTGCAAGTTGACTTGCGTTCTTACTAAATTTATTGAATTAAACCAAATAGTCAAAATGAAGAGATTAGATCGAGTTAATTATAGTAAAATAATAAATTCGAAGTTAAAATCTAGTTACACAGAAGTTCAAGTTGGTCTTCGACAAAACATAGACAATTAGACAGTTTACATATTTTATGAAACTATACATTAACCTAACATTTTCAAACAACAGCAAGGAGGAAACCACCATAGAAGAAGCAAAGGCTAGATATTCTGAAATTATTCATCATCTAAACTTTAGTACAGCATAATTGCGACAGACGCATCTATTACAAACATCTGACAGCATGGCAAAACAGGCTGTGACTGACGGGAAGGAAGTTAGCTTTAATTTCAGTTCAGGAGAAGTTACTAGAATCAAACAAAAAATTAAATATGAAAACACATGTTCGGAAGTCTCCCTGCCATACTTTTAGTGCTATCGTATCTATTCATATGCACATATCGTGCGACCAACCATCACTGATTGACTGCCATCACCAGCTGATTACCAAAGTAAAAAACAAGAAGAGTGTATAGTAATAACCAGTGCTGCCAGAATTTTAGAGTCAATATAAGCTACTTTAAGATATGCTACAACTGGCTAAAATCTAAAAAAAAAAGCTAATGCTAAATACACCTCAAAAACAGAAAATTGTTCAGTTTGTGGATGTGTGCAACGCAGAGAAGGAAAGGTTGCCGACCCCATAAACTATATATATATTCTTGATCAGCATCAAAAGCCAAGTCTATGTCTGTCTGTCTGTCTGTCTGTCCGTACCGCAGCATCAATAGCCAAGTCTATGTCTGTCTGTCTGTCCGTACCGATGAGCGCCGAGATCTCAGAGACTATAAAAGCTAGAGCAAACAAATTTTTTTCGAGACCCGTGATATCACACTGTTACAAGTGTATTTCAAAAAAATAGCGCCGCCGCTCGTATCCAAGTTGATTTTGCATTGCTGTTCCAGGATGGGCCTGTTTGTCGCTGGAAACTTTTAACGCCAACGTTCTCACATCGCTGGCTACTTGCTACCTGGTCAGGTATTGTATATTGAGCACTTTTTTATGTGATTGTTTATAAAATGATCGGGATAGCAGTGTGTACACACTTTCCCAAATCCAGATTATTTCATCGAGATATCGATACTCTTAAAAGATAAAACGCAGCTTTCGTAGCTGGATATTGCTATAAAGCTATAAATTATATGGCTTTTCCATTGTATACATTTTTTAAAGACTTTATCATGCATTGCGTAATAAGTTAAGTGGATATTTCGTTTTTAGACTATCGATAGTTAATTTACTCAATTGAATTCTTACTGCTGATCCAACTGATGATTCCATCCCTTATCGATAGCCGCAGCGTTGCCATAAAGTAGAACTCATAGGCTTGTTTTTGACGAGTCATTTTCTCGTCTCGCATTTGTTAATAACCGAACAGAACAGATATGCCATACAACATGGACATACTTATGCCTGAGAAGGTAAATTTATTATCTGAGCATATTCTAAACATAACATAAGCTTTTAGTTTATTGCCCAGGATGAACTCTGCGATTCAAAGCCGAAAGATGCGCATAGCTCTTTGGATGAATTGGACATTGATGATTTGTACGTGCGTTATAAGGTAAATATGCAGAAAAAATATTCGCAAAGATTTAGGTGATATCCAAACCCTCTTTCAGAAACTTCAAAAAACCTTGGAGTTCATAGAGGTGCAGGAGGAGTACATTAAGGATGAACAACGTAATCTAAAGAAGGAATATCTACATGCCCAGGAGGAGGTGAAACGCATACAGTCAGTGCCACTGGTGATTGGGCAATTCCTGGAGGCTGTCGATCAGAACACGGGAATTGTTGGCTCCACAACAGGGTCCAATTACTATGTCCGTATCCTGTCCACCATCGACCGTGAGTTGCTAAAACCATCGGCTTCCGTGGCGCTGCACAAGCACAGCAATGCCTTGGTGGATGTCTTGCCCCCCGAGGCGGATAGTTCCATATCAATGCTGCAGCCCGATGAAAAACCAGACGTAAGCTACGCCGACATTGGCGGCATGGATATGCAGAAGCAGGAGATTCGCGAAGCAGTCGAGCTACCCCTTACCCACTTCGAGCTGTACAAACAGATCGGCATCGATCCCCCCCGCGGTGTCCTCATGTACGGCCCGCCTGGTTGTGGCAAGACCATGCTGGCCAAGGCCGTGGCTCACCACACCACCGCCTCCTTTATCCGTGTGGTCGGATCTGAGTTCGTGCAGAAGTATCTCGGGGAGGGTCCGCGCATGGTGCGCGATGTCTTCCGGCTGGCCAAGGAGAACGCCCCAGCTATTATATTCATTGATGAGATCGACGCGATTGCAACCAAGCGTTTCGATGCCCAGACCGGTGCCGATCGCGAAGTCCAGCGCATTTTGCTGGAGCTCCTCAACCAGATGGATGGCTTCGACCAGACCACCAATGTGAAAGTGATCATGGCCACAAATCGCGCCGACACTCTGGATCCTGCTCTGCTGCGGCCTGGTCGTCTCGATCGCAAAATCGAGTTTCCGCTCCCCGATCGCCGCCAGAAGCGTTTGGTCTTCTCCACCATTACCTCCAAGATGAACCTCAGCGAGGATGTCGATCTGGAGGAGTTCGTTGCGCGTCCGGATAAGATCTCCGGTGCCGATATAAACGCCATCTGCCAGGAGGCGGGCATGCACGCGGTACGTGAAAATCGTTACATCGTTCTCGCCAAAGACTTCGAGAAGGGCTACAAGAACAACATCAAGAAGGACGAACAGGAGCACGAGTTCTACAAGTAGATTTAAGTTAAGCCCCACCGCCCCTCCTCCTCTATCTTATCTTAACCCTTTATACCTACATACCTAAAAAGAATGTATCAGTAATAAAAAGCATTGGTTCTATTCCTATTCCATTTTCGCTTACATTTTTCTGTAGCGATCCCCAGAACTTCCACTTCTCCAGAAAAAAGACTAAGATATTTACACAACAAACATGGACGCATTTCAATTATTTCAATTGGTCAAAACAATTGAATACATATAAAGAATAACTAAGCAGAGCAATAGTATGTAGGTTGGCATCTAGGAAGTAGATCTATCTAGATTGCTTCACATGGATATGAATGCGGCTTCATTCTGCCATTGATTCATTACTTCATTAACGAGTTGACAACGGCGTTCACATTGATGGCTTTAAGGTCCGCATAAGTCTGGCCGGTGCCGACAAATACGATGGGCTGGCCGGTGATGTAGGTCATGGAGATGGCGGCGCCCACTTTGTCGTCGATGGTGTCGAATTTGGTGAGAACAATGCCGTCAATAATGTGCGGATTTTCGTTGGAGGAATAGTCGGCGAGGGACTGGTTGAACTTAACCAGCTGATCGACAGCTTCGTTGCCGACGAGAGCCTCGCCCACGAAGAGCACCAGATCGGGATTGTTCACCTTGATCAGCTTGGAGAGGGAACGCATGAGTGGCTCGTTGTCCTGCATGCGGCCGGCGGTGTCCACCAGAACTACGTCCACCTTTGTGTCGTGCGCAAATTTGATGGCCTCCAAAGCAATGCCGGCGGCGTCCTTCCCGTATCCCTTCTCGTACAGCTGGACCATGGTGCGGTTGTTGTGGTTCGCCGCCGGATGCAGAGCATTCAGATGGCGTGTGTGGGTGCGCAGTTGCTCGACGGCTCCAGCGCGGAAGGTGTCGCAGGCCGCAATCAGCACGTTGAAGTCGTTCTCAATTAGCCAGAAGCAGATCTTGGCTAGATTCGTCGACTTGCCCACCCCGTTCACCCCGCAGAAGATGATTGTGTACGGCTTGCCACCACGATTGGACTCTAGGGCATCGCGTATGATGTCGATGCGACGCTTGGGCGACAGAATGCGAACCAGCGACTGCGTCAGTGCATCCCTTACAAGGCTGGCAATGCTGTCGAAGGTCCCCATCTGTTTGCCCTCGAGGCTGGTTGCCACTGAGTCGCACAGCTTGACCGCTATCTCCGAGGCCACATTCTTCGATATCAAATGATCGCGCATCTTCTCCAGCGCCGGTTGCAGATCGGCCAGCGACATGGTCTTGCCGCCAACAATTCCTTTAAAATAGGACAGCAAACCACCTCCGCGCCTGTTCTTTTTCAGTGCCGCTGAATGGCTGCTCAAATCCTCATCCTCGCTAGAGTCCTCCGCGCTGTCCAAATCATCCTCGCTCTCCACATCCAGGTCTGGGATGACACCCTGCATGGTACCCACCAGCTGCCAAAATAAAGATAATCATAATTAGTTACATACAGCCAAGCCAACACAATCTCACAGCTCTCGCAATCTAATCATGTCTGCATATGTACATACATATGTATACATTGATATTTACACACACACATATGTACATATGACAGGGAAAGGCACATTTATGTTCGCAAAAGGATCTTGCGTTGGTTTCAGTGATGACAATTACTCGTCACAAAAACAAGACATCCCGACCAAACAAAACAAAAAAGCACAGGAAAACGAGATGGAACGTGTGAGTCGCTTCTGGGGACGCGACTCTACTTATACCCGTACTCAGTCAGTATATAAATTTTTGAGCTTATGATATATGTAAAATTAAAAAAAATTTTACATTTTACATTTTTTTGCTACATCTGTTATCTAAATCTTCATCTACTATGTATATTCTACATCTACATGTACCATTCAGATTCTACATCTTCTCCGCCAGTGGGCGCTCGCGTATATAACGAAGCAGAGTGTGCGAGCGAGAAAGAGAATGAGTAGCGGGTCTCTTGCTGTAGAAGGCGGGGCAAGCAACTGAAAATTAATTTGGTTGCTCCAGCTCCTATAGTCTCTGAGATCTAGGCGCTCATCGAGACGGACAGACGGACATGGCTACATCGACTCGGCTTTATGGGGTCGGAAACGTTTCCTTCTCTGCGTTGCACACATCCACTTTTACCACAAATACAATATACCCCTTAACTCTTTTTTGAGTACGGGTATAAAAAGGGATGAACATTTAAAAATAAAGGACAAATAGTTTGTTTTTAAATAATTAGACTTTTCATTGGGATTTAGATCGTATGTTGCATTGTCAATTATATAGTCATCCTGGGTACCTTCTCCTTTGTCATATGATGCATTTGTGCCTTTTTTGAACTTCAAAATTTAAAGTATTTACTTGTCCCGTGCTTTATGTACATACATATGTATGTACAATTATTGCAGCATCCACGCGTACAGACGTAAGCGACTTTGATTAAAACCGGCTCAACTTCGGCCTTCGACCTCTGTCAATGACACTAGAGTTAGGCCAATTCAAAAACTTGGTGGCTTCCAGATGAGTCCTTTTAATTTTTTAGCCCCAACCAACGGGGTTTATGTAGCGAACTTGCAGGCACAATCAAAACGGACGGAGGACCTTTTCTGAGTACTGGGAAAACCATCAACAATTCAATATTGGCGGCAATTTCTCTGTTCATTGGCTATGGTCATATGTATGCAGGTACACATGTATGTACTATGCATGTATAACGGCCATAGTAATGAACAATTGTTGGGGATTATCTTCATAAAGAAAAGATATTTTCTCGCAACAACATATGACTAAAAACTATAAAATACCAAGATGCTGCATGAGCGAACAAAACAAAGCATTACGCCCCGTAGACAGAGAAAGAGTGCGGGGTTTAGTTCTCTTTCTCGCCTATGCTTCGTCTCTGACCGCGACCCCATTGCCACACGGCTTCCACTGTCAGCGACGAGCTGAGCCAGAAGGCAAAAACAACGACGTTGCTTGTGCATGATTAAGCACATTGATGCTCGAGAAAAGTCTTGACTCTCGAGCCCCAGCGCAGCGTCGCACAATGTAGTCTTTAGCCTTTTCAGCTTGCTAAATTAATAAGTGAATGAGAGTTCAATAAATTTGTTCACGCCGGAAAAACTCAAGGTCTCACATCTCCTAAACTAAAATTATCTTGAAAATTAGATTTTTGAAAGCTCTTGAAAATTCTCTATTAGATGTGCATATTCATTTTTATCCAAAGCGCTCACAAAATTCTTTGACATTTGCCACCTCTTTTCGGCTGAGTCCCCACTGTGCCGCCTCAAAGATTTAAGCGCTGGCCAAGGCATTGACGAAGCCGAGTAGCATTTCGGAGGCGAAGGATAGCCTAAAAGATAATTTAAGTACTAGCCCCGCGCGACCGTACGAAGAAGCGTCAAACGAAAATTTAACGGTCATTTGGCCAAGCAATATTGTTGTAATTTTATAGTCTTTGACCTACTGGTTGATCCTACGGCTCCTACTATGTATGTACATAAATATATATATATATATATCTATTTAATTCGTGTAAAATAGGGCAGCAATACAAATTTCCGTTTTGCTTTCTGTCTACGCACACAAACGCACTGGTGTAAATGCACCCACATAAGTGGTATGTACATTCTTGATCAGCAAGTCGATATATTCTAGATATGATAAATCATAAATCCTAAGCTCTAGAGTCTCGAGCAACCGAGTATCTCAATATCAACCGATATCTCAGACTGAAACAGGCGTTTCTCAATTGGTTTCCTCGCCCCCCTAAAATTTCTAAATTCGATGTCACCTACAGATTCAAAGATCATAAACGATTCAATTATCTATCAGATTGCAGATTCTTGTTCCGATCGATCGGACAACAGACTGAAAACAAACAAAACATAACAAAAATATGTCTTTTAGCTGACTCCGCTGCACCCAACGCACTCTTTCATTTTCTTTCCTTGCTCCAACTTTAGCGCCACAGTGAGACTCGTGCTACTCGGCACTCACCTCGTTGTTGATGCTCTGGTACACAACATCCTCGGGGGAGTCCTTTGAACGATCGAGTAGGACGGCATCTTTAGAGTTGCCGCCAAGATCCCATACTCTGGGCTTCTTTCCGGCCTTCTCTGAGGCACCCTGCTTGACAGCAGTGCTTGACTTGGTATCGGCTGCCTTCTTGGTGGGCGTAAGCTTTTCTCGCAACTTTCGACGGTTTTCCTGAATAATGTCCTCTTTTGTGAGTGGCGGTGATGAGGGCTGCGATTTGGGCTGCGTCGGACTCTCCTGAATGTTGACACGTTTCTCGACTGGCTTTTTGTCATCCTGTATCATGGATGCGACGGTTTTCTTCGATTTTTGCGACTCATTGTAAGAGCGCATGGCCTTGGGGGCCTTCACCTGTTTCGAAGACGCCTCTTCGGCTGCAGTGAGCACGCTGCGGAATTCGCCTTCGAAATCGTATTCACTGCCCAGGCGCTCCAATGCCGGTATACTGCCGAACTTCTCCTTAAAGGCGAACTGCATGTCGGCCAGAAAGGCGTCCAAGTAATTGAGTTTGATGACCTTCTGGAAGACAGCCGCATATACCAGATCCAGCTCATTGTCCAGCTTAAACTGCACTGCCAGGTGATCCTCCTCAAAGTATTTGGACTCTGTGTTTCGCTCCTGCCGACAAACAACGAACAACATCAATCATAAATATGCATGAGATGAGCAAAGCAGCCACAGCCACAGCCACAGCAGAGCAACTAAAACATGGCTTACCTCCAGTATTACGCCACGTATGAGGCTGTTTATGCATGATGAGAAGTTTATTCCAGAGGTTTGCGAGTTCCAAAGTACTACGCCGCCCTTCGTGAATATCACTACAAAATCTAACATTTTAGCTAACAAATCCTGCCCTGCTATACAACGCTACGAAACTTCTTCTCTTCGTTCGAGCATTCCACGTCACGTCATGCTCGGTCTCTGCTGCACGGTCGCGCAACGGGTGGCAACGTCAAAATGTTTGTTTATGTTTTTATTTTTAGTCTGGCAGCGCCGGAACAGGGCTGGGTAAAACAGCAAGCGACATAGTTATATATCCTGTCCTTTCCTCTCTAGTTTGGTTTTGTAGTCCAGTTGGCGGCAGAATGCGGAATGGGAATGGCATTCACTATGATCGTACATCACTAGACTTCAAGTCCAATCTAAGCTGAAAGACAGAGATATCACGAGACACAATGATAAAGCTGTCATTCGCTATATTATATGTAGCTATTTCACGCTATATCCAACACAAGGTCTAGCCACTCCACTTGCCTAGAACGATGTGCTTAAGCTTCACACTGTTGCGAATAAAAAAAGTGCGACAAATCATAGAAGTAGTGGCAAATGTGTCTCGCATTTAATAATAAGCGGGTACGGGCACGCCCAAAAGAAAGCTATGGAAAAATGTCACCCATTTCTTTTTACAATTGGTTCTTATTGCTAACGCGATCGATCATTTCTTTAAATATAGAATCATGAATGAAATTTGAAATCCTTTCAATACGCTTTCACATACACATGAAAAGGGGGAAAGCAGAAAAGACATTCGCTGAATGCACATAGGTTTCTGTATATAGTGTAATGCCAGTTGTTAAAGAAAAAAATCTATTTGATGTATGCTAGTATTGATGATTGTTATTGTTCTGGTCCCTCGCCATCTGCTCCATTTACGATCCCACAATGATGTTGTTGATGGGGATGTGTATCAGCTTGACGAAAAAGCCAATGAAGCCCATGATGCAGAAGCCAATTGCGGTAGCAATGGCGATCTTCTGGAACTCCTTGCGGTCCGGCTTAGTGCAGCGTTTTACGAGACGGATGGAGTCCTTGGCGAAAGCGCGACCTGGTTCAGCGAACTTAACAACTTTGTCCATGTTTTTTTTTAATTTAATAGAAACTGAAACGAGAGAGTGGGAATTCAATCAAAATCAGTTTAATGATGCCAATTTCACACGAATCATTATACGAAGTCAGCGTCGCCGTCGACGTCAACAACAGTGACACTGGCGACGTGGCAGATGACGACGACGTCACAGGTGAAATCTTGTTGCTGTTTCTTCCTGGGAGGTCTTCGAACTGGATTTAAAACTCCTTAGACTAGAGTTCAATTGAAAATGTGCACTATTATTATGATATTAACTTAATTTCCTTAAGCTATGTGTACAGTTTTTGCATTGAAAATGCACTATTCGAAAACGAAAAAAAAACAATGTAAATGATAGAGACCGTATCGATTTAGCGGAGTAAGAATTTTGTTCTTTGAGGGAGTTTTCTACATCCAAATGTATGCTTTAATTATAAAAACGCAGAAAATAAAGAAGCACACACCTGCCAACAGTTCGAAAATTTTCACTGGAATGATTGGTTTCGTTTCGTTGTCGTGTCGGGCCTTATAAATCGTGCCCAGTTTTTATTCCACGTCAAAATGTCAAACAAGCAGAGTTGCTTTGGTAAATAGCGATAGATAGGATTGACACGATAGTTCGTGCTCGTTATAAAATATCGTCACGGTCACGCTGTTGCTGTTTTACTTTCCTGTTTTCTAGTGCTGTCAAACGATAGATAGTTGAGCCATCGATAGTTTTTAATGTTAAAAAAAAACAATCAATACTATCGTAATAGTATCGGGCTCAAATAATTATTAAAACACCATTGAAACCTTTTAGGAAATTGTCCATTGTAAAAGTTAAATGCCACCTGTCGATTTGTTTACAAAGTTGTCTTCGTATTTTAGAGCAGCCAATCCAAACATATCAAAAGCGCAACGACTGTAGCTCGATACTATCATGATAGTCGCAAACACTCGATAGTAGCGGATAGTAGCGGATAGCAGCAAAACTATCGATATTATCGATAGTGCCCTCGATGGTTTGACACCTCTACTGTTTTCATTGAATTCCTCTCTGAAATCGACATGTAAGTAACAAATATTTTATGTTATAAGCATCTTTTCCCAAGATGCGTGCGTACACTTATTTATATGCAGCATACATTTTTACATGCATATTTATATCATTTTACCCAAACATATTTATATAAATTTATATATATATATATATATACATATATGCAGCAGACATTTTGAAATGAGTACCCAGCCGAGTCCCTGCATGAATCCTCAGCAGCAACAAAGCGAGCAGGAGAAGGTAATTTAGAGAGAAGTATTTTCAACAATCACAAATGAACTTTTACGATGGTTTTGCGCTATTTAGGTGTACCAATGGATTAACGAATTGGCGCATCCGGACACGCGCGAGACCGCTCTGTTAGAGCTGAGCAAAAAGCGAGAAACTGACTTGGCTCCTATGTTGTGGAACAGCTTTGGAACGGCGTGTGCTCTGCTTCAGGAGATTGTCAACATATATCCGTCTATAACTCCGCCCACTCTGACGGCACATCAGTCAAACCGTGTTTGCAATGCCCTGGCCCTGCTGCAGTGCGTCGCCTCCCATCCTGAGACCCGTACAGCCTTTCTCCAGGCGCAGATTCCCCTCTACTTGTATCCATTTCTGTCGACCACTTCAAAAACCAGACCCTTCGAATATTTGCGTCTGACCAGCTTGGGCGTCATTGGTGCCTTGGTTAAGGTGAGTCCGTCCCCATCAATTCTCCATAATACGCAACTAGGTCTTCCGATCCTTCCAGACCGATGAGCAGGAAGTAATCACGTTCTTGCTGACCACTGAAATTGTTCCTCTTTGCTTAAGCATTATGGACAGCGGCTCGGAGCTAAGCAAGACTGTGGCCACCTTCATCATTCAAAAGATACTGCTTGATGAGTCGGGCCTGTCGTACATCTGTCAGACATACGAACGCTTCTCGCATGTGGCCATCACCCTGGTAAGTATCCATCGATGCCAAGTCCATGCTTAAGTAACGCATGTACTTACATATGTATTCCATATACTACTACAACACTGCAGGGTAAAATGGTGATCCAGTTGGCAAAGGAACCGTGTGCCCGTCTGCTAAAGCACGTGGTGCGTTGCTACCTGCGTCTCTCTGACAACACTCGGTATGTATAAAGGCACGATTCTTATGGAAATGCAACAAATCTATATTTCTTTTTATGCAGTGCTCGCAAGGCCCTCGGACAGTGCTTGCCGGATCAGTTACGCGATGGCACTTTCGCGCTGTGCCTGCAGGACGATAAATCCACGAAGCAGTGGCTTCAAATGCTACTCAAGAACTTGGAGCTGGGAAACACCCCACAGCAGATCGGCATGTCGCCATTGGGCTCCTAGATCATAGAAAATCCAAATCTCATTTGTCTTAAGTATTTCATGGGCATAATGCAGGTCTTCCGCACCCGCATTGCGCGCCTTTCAAATCGCTGCTAATCAATTAATTTCACCAACTAGTTATCATCTAGCCAGAACGTCTGTGTAATAATTTTTCACCAGGTTGCCTGAGCCTAGCCTAAGCCAAGATGTAATTTACATAAATTTATGTGTAGTTATGAATACAAAAAAAGTAATGTTAATAAGCTAAGCAATTTCTTTGCTATTAGAATATAATTTACAATGTAAATAAAGATCCCATACCGTGAAACTATTCCTCTACCACTCCCACACACGCAGGCACTCACTCATGCTTATGCAATTAGCATGTACATATGTATATGCAGCCATCCTGCTCTGATTGGCGTCAGAGAATGCAAGGCTGCGGGCTCTGGCCACATCTGAAATGCCACAACCATTAAAAGAGACAATCTGCAGGAACGGTAACGCACACGCTCACATACATTTAATATACAATAATTACAACAAATACAGCTACAAAATATACATACATACAATTACATGGCGCTGCGGGTGCCTAAAGAGACAGAGAGAGATACCACTATGTAACAGTAACATCATTAAATCGCCTACTAATACTACTACTACAATGCTCCAAGTTAAGGATATTGTACGTAGGGACACACATTTAGACTGTATTGGATTAGATTATTACATCGAGAAAATACATCAATAAATACGCATACTTATGCATGTGCAAGTCCCAAGATCATGTGTAATAGACAGGGACAGACAAAAAAAGCACTCAAATGTGCTGAGAAAATGTTTAGTTTCGAATTCCCAATTTAGTTGGTCGGCTTGGATGGACCAGTGACCGCCGATGCTCGCCGCGCCATCTCTGACTGGCCATCCGCAGTCTCAAGGTCGACTTGCGAAACTTTCATCTGCGGCAAAGCCAGCATCTGTTCCATGAGGTCAAATCCACTTTTCCAGATCAACAAGTGCGCCCGCAGCTTCAATTTATTGCGGTTCCGAATCAAATGCTTCTCCATGGCGAAGCCCTGGCGGGCGCAGGCAAAGTCACAAGCCCGCTGTCGCAGCACGGGGCAGATGTCGTTGTTTCCATCGCCCACATAGAAGACGTGATCGTAGCGGATGCTTCGTCGCAAGTCCTGTTCAATGACAAAGTGCTCAAGGACGCGCCCTTTGCAGAGATTGCTGGCGCTCAGCTTGCACTCGCTCTGCTGGTGATGGGGCCGTACCTGAAGCTGCCCGTTGGAGTCGAACTCGGCGGGGTTGGTGAAGATGGCCACAAAGCAGTCGGCCAGGCTGTGCGCCTTGACCCATTCGTCGATGAAAACACTGTTCGAGTCACTGATGATGATCATGTCGAAGTTGAGTTTCTTGTGTAGATGCTTGATGAGGCGCACGAAGCCCGGGACCTCGGGAATGACTCGGATGGTGTCGCGAATGCGCGCCTCCGTGACTTGTTGCTCATGCAGAAGACGAAAAACCTCGGACATGTACTCAGTCCAACAATCGTTCTCCACCAGCTCGTTGAGGGTCCGCGAGCTGACCACTTCCGGAGGAAGTAAATCCCTCACCACGGTGTCCGTATTTTGGGCCACAATTGTATGATCAAAATCGAAGGCTGCCAGTCGTCGACGTTTCTGCTTTTCCAGCCTACAGCAGGCGATGGCTTCAGCGACAGCTGCCGACGACGAGGACATCTTTGCTGCTCTTTCAATGCCAATAAAACAGGGTCTAAACAAAGAAGGTCAACAAAAGTCTTTTTTACATGGTATCTACACGGTAACTACACATTTGCTACATATCAACAACATATTTATGGTAGTATAGACATTTTTATACCCTATTTCCTTTAATTTATGTTAAAATTCTGTTTTCCAACCTACATACTCTGAAACCTAATAAATAATGACATTTGCCCGCATTGAATTAGATTCCTGTATATATTTCTCAAACCAGAGGCATATTCTCGGTAACTGCAAGAGTAAACTGCAAAAATTTCGTTGAGAAAGCTTGCAAATTTAGAGACTAGTTTTGCATACCTACTAAATATACAAAATAAAAATCATAAAATCGGTCATTGCATTCATTGGAGCCTGTATGAAAAGCAAATGATGAAAGAAATCATCAAGCCTAACGAAGGAAGCTTTTAAAATTTCCTCGCTGGGAAATCGGTGAGCAAAAAAAAGGGTATAGACAACAGGCAAAACGGCCAAAAAATTCCACGCATGCAAGGTAATATCCACCCCATTGCCAAAATTATTATAATACCATGATTATCATGGCTCGTCAAGTCAAATTACGCTCTCCAACTAATTAATGCGTTACAAGTATGAGCCGATAGTTAATGTCGATAGTTCGAGTTTGGCGGAACATCCTAAAGCCTAGTACTCAGATCGGAAAAAAACACCTCGCGAACAGAATCAGGGTGGATATTCGTATGAAACCGATATGAAAATTTTTGGGGCCATAACTGTTTTCTAGGCTCTGTACGGAAGGCAGTACTCAGATCAACAAACAAAAAAGGTCGGTATATATTAAAAAAGTATCCGAAGGTATTTGCTGATATAGCTGGTATGTTTCTACCCCCCTCGAAAGTTATATCAATTTGATATATTTTGCCAGCAAACACGAAGCAAACATTGCAATTTGAGAACAAAAAACCGAGTAGTTTTTTCGGAACTGAGTAATAAGCTTATTTCAAAACAACAATCACAAAATCGAATAGAAAGGTAAGTGACCGCCGAGCACAACTTCCACTTATCGCCAAAAAGTACCGATATTTTTGTGTAACCTACCCTGTGCACCGATAATTATATATATCTGATCTTACGACGTGGAAGAACAGAAATATAGTGTCAATTGGCTTCTAGTTCATATTTCATCTGTTAAAATACCCCAAAAATTTATAAAATTCATGTTTTCCAACCAAAACAATATCATCTACCAATATATTATACAAAATTGATATCGATATATCGATATCAATTTATAGCATCCCTATTTCGTAGCATTACTTTTTCGACGACGGAATCGAAAAGAAAAAACACAAGCAGGCGAAGCAAAGCATACAATTTAATAATGAATTCTTGAAAATGTTCTATGCGTGCCGAACAAGTCTGCTTACGCATTCGCGCGGTTAAAGCAGCAATTCGTTTTTTTTAAAAGACAGTTAATGCGATGTCTCCCTGCTTGTGTCCAAATCGTTAAAAGTGCGTGGAAAAGTGTACGAAACCAATACACGGAAAGTGGGACAACGGCAACCGAGAGAGCTCGTTGCGCTTGTCTCCGCTGTTGTGTGCGACTCTATGTGTGTGTGCGTGTGTTGGTCCACAGTGAGTGTGTGTGTGACTACAGTCTTCTCAGCCCCGTCTCCCCTCGAGTGCTTTAAAATGTGTTTTATTTCTTGTTTAATATTTTCTTTACAAAATACAATGCAACAATAAAAAAAAGTGCCACAGAATGTCGGACGCTTGAGTAGGCCAAATCCTATGAAGCAGACAAAACCATAATATGTGCACAAATAATTTATGTTAATGCTAAGAAGGCGATTGATTTCCTCTACTCCATCTTCTTTTGTCTGACTCTGACCAACGATTTTGCCGCATGGTGAGTTCGCTGCTGCTGTTTTTCTTGGGTCAGGTTTTCGTTTTTTTTTGCATTGCCTTGCACAAATTTGTTGATGTTGCTGCGTTGTATGTAGACATTTTTTTACAGACGAACGCTGACAATCGGTTGCCCAGGGGAGTTGAGTGCGGGTTTAGTGCAGATGCTTGCATGTTTCGATTTGACTATGTGTGTGTGCGTGTTGAGCTGCAGCAGCAGAAACAGAAACAACAACGGCGACTCGACTGTGGTGAATTTCATTAGGATGTTGAGTTTACCCCGTGCGAAGCAGTGTTGCCAACACACATTAGAACAGGCCAGAGCAGAGTTCGTTCGGCTTTCTCAACAATTCTTTTCTATGCTCTCTCCTTCGCTCTGTCTCTCTCCCCATGCAGCAGCTGTGTGCGCATGTTCTCAACGCTTATTATTTATAAACTCAGCTTGTTGTTGTTATTCTGCGCGAGGGTTTTGCGCGCATTTTTCCTTTATGTATTGCTCTCTACAACAAGGTACCACAACAACGTACCAGGAGCCCCAGCGAAGTCGAAAGTTTATGCTACCTCCAAAATGGAGAGCGCATTCGCATAATGCTCATATGCGCTTGGGGACTGTCTGAGCCCCTTGCAGGATATAGATCCTACCGAACCGAACCGAACCCAATCCAATACCCTTTCGTTCGCGGTTGCGTTAGTTGTAACATTGTAATGAGACTCTTGAGCGTGGCACGATTGATTTAACTCTGCTTTTCCATATGGGTGTATTGTGATGGATGGACGGACATCGCTTTGAGTGTGGGAGTGGGCTTGAGGAAATCCTAATGAACGTATAATTAGGAGGTTAATCACATTGACGCCTGTTATCTTTTGCAGGCTGGCGACACCCGGCGGCAACAGGATAATTGGATATAGCAATGAATGATTTACGTCAGCAGCAGATGGTAGCAGCGACATCGTCATCAGGATCAGTAACGGGAACGGGCATAGCAGTGGGATCATCAGGTCGAATCAATTCCAGCGTAAAATCTGCGACGAGCACCACGACCGAGGAGGAGCAACGCGTGAGCTCGACATCATCGCCGGCACAGCGGGAGCATCGGTTGAATGCAGAGCAGCAGCAGCTGGGAGCAGAGGAGGCACTGCAACAACAACAGCCGGGTCATATAACCAGCACTACAGCATCGCCACCGCCGCAGACGCCGCGCGACGATGCCCAAAGCGCTGCTGCAGGCACAACTGGAGCATCAGCAATTACAGCAGCAGCGAGGGGAACCGCAGCCATGGCTGCCACAGCAGTTGACGTGAAGGGCGAGGAAGGAAGCAGGGGTGGAAGCAGCCAAGGGCACAAAATTATCCTCAAGCTATCCAAGCACTCGCACACCGCTCCCAATGAATCTCATTCCGTTGGAGACGAGAGACGTGTGGAACCATTGCGCATTCATCTGCCCAGCAGCATCGGCGGGACGGGGGCCAAGCCGCAGGACGCCTCAGACGCGGACGCCTCCTCGTGCTCCTCCTCCTGCGCCGAGGCGGAGGATGAGCTGAGCAGTCTTAGCCAGCATCGTCCGACCCCTAATCCCCGGAGCACACCGCACATTGTGCCAAAGCTCACTATCCGGGCAGCCAATGAGGAGCGTGTGGGCAGCGTTGTGCCTAAGCTGACTATCAAAATGCCTGAGAATCCCGCGGCTTCCTCTAGCTCCGGCTCAGGGTCCGGGTCAGGGTCCGGGTCCGGGTCCGGCTCCTGCTCGAGAGACGGCAGTCTGTCCAACTGCCTTGGCCGCAGTCAGTCAATGACGCCGGCCAAGAACGAGGCACATCTGTCTAGCCTCTCTCCCGCCTCCGCCTCCTCCTCATCAGCATCCTCCTCTTCCTCATCATCGTCGTCGTCGTCCTCGCTGTCGATGGTGGAGATGCAGACGGTCCCCAAGCTAATGATTAAGACCACCCTGGCCGGGAGCAGCTGCATCAGCAGCAACAGCGAGGAGCAGCCGCAGCAGATACCAAAGTTAACCATCAAGACGGGCGGCAGCGGCCAGGAGCACATGCACACGGTGATCATGACGCATGACCTCAGCAACGCTCAGAGCATACCCAAGCTCACAATCAAAACCAAGTCCATTGAAATGGAGGACCCCGATGGAGGACAGCCCCCCGCCAAGGCCGAGCAGCAGCATCACCAGCAGCAGCCCCTACCCAAGTTGACCATTAAGAATCTGTGCTCCCCGAAGCACAAGGTCCGCGCTGTGCTTGAGGAAAAGCCACCTTCAGCTGCCTCTAAGCTGGCCACACCAACGCCAACGCCCATGCCCATTCCAATATCGAACGGCGGGGAATCGAACAGCAGCAGCCAAGAGTTCTGTGGCTTTTCAGATCCAGATGGGGAGCAGATGGTGGCGGACGAGATGCGCCGCAACTCTGATGATATGGACATTGACGAGTCCCTGTCGAAGGAGCACGATCCCAAAATGTTTCACAACCTGCCGCCTCTGCAGCCGGCAGCCAGCAATGGCCTGGCCATTGAAAACAAAGCCAACAAGTACAAGACTGCTGCTTCCAATCCTAATCCAAATTCGAATCTGCCACAGCACCAGCAGCAGCAGCAGCAGCACAATGTCGTGGATCTAGTTGATCTAACATCGTCGCCATCCCCAGGGTCCTCGCCAGCGCATGCAACCATCGATTTCTCTGGTAGCATCTCGCCGGGCCAGTCGAGTCATAATCTCCTCCTGCCTCTTCGTCTGCACATGTCGCCCGCTGGCACAGCACCCGGTACCGGGTTGCCCAGTTCCAACATTCTGCTAAGCCAACTGACGAGCCCAGCAAAGACCCACTTTTCCACGGCCCCCGCCAAGAGTAATAACTCCAGCAAGTATCCCCAGCTGACCGAACGGCTGATGGCGAACGGAGGAGGTGTCAGGGTCGGAGCTGCAGCAGCGGCAGTAGATGAGGGCGGCGCTCAGCTCTCGGGCGTGGTTCCTATAGCGCACTCATCCAGCCCCTCGCAGCCCATTATCGATTCTATTGAGATTCTGGACACTCCGGAAGGCAGCCCGCATATCACCTACATGGATCATCACCAATTGGTCAACAATCACCACGACGGGATCGAGCAGGATCGGCAGGAGGAGGAACTGGAGGAGCGCGAAGAGCTGGACAACAACAATGAGAATCATCTGAAGCGCAACAGCAGCGACGGCAGCGAATCTCCCAGCGTAAGTGCTTTGCCGTTCTGGATTCCTAGTTCTTAGGTCTGATCCTCTCCACTCCCTCCTATAGATCCCGCGCAGCAAGCAGCGACGATTGGACAACGATGAGAACGATCAGCAAACGCATAACTGCCATGAGCCTGGAAAGAAATCGAGTACCAGCGAGACGATGCAGATTCAGACAGGTCAGCCATCCCACCGCTCCCGCAAGCAGAAGCACGAGAGAATTCTCAACACAGACCTAGAGGACGGCCTGTTTCCTCCATCCGGGGCCCCAGGCCCTGGCCTTGCCTCTAGCCCTGGACCTGGTCCAGGCCATCCCCCATTGGCATCGTCAGATGGAAACCAAAATGGAACTCTCTTCACTGATTCAGGGGCGGCGGCTGAGGATGCCAACTCGTTAGAGTTGCAGCCAGAGCGCCAGCGAAATCAGCCTGCTGCCGCAGAGGTGATGACTACACCAGTACCGACGGGCAAACGACGTGGCAGACCTAAAAGGAACCAAACTGCAGATCTGTCTGCGCATCTGTTACCCGTGACTCCAGCCCTTGCCACACCCACCCATGAAAGCCATGACAGCCAGGAAGCCGTGGCCAGTAGTGCGGTGAAGTCTCGTCGGGTGCAGCTGCTTCGCAAGCGTCTGGCCATTGATATGGTAAGTATGGGCCAGGAACAGCTGCCGGAGGCAGCGGCGATCACATTGATGGACGAGCAAGAGGAGCATACGGGAAGGGTCGATGATTCGCCGAGCGCAGTGGGAAAGGTGATTTGTCGCGATCATCGTCAGCTGAGAGCCACGAGGCGCACCCAGACCCCTAATTCGAAGGCGCTGAATCCTTCCCAGCCTACAACCAAGACCACCAGGAAGCGCCAAAGCAAGGCCAACTCTAGCAAGCTGTCGCTTCAGCAGCAGCAGTCGGAGCCGCAGCAGCAGCCGATTCCTACCCCAACGCTCAGTTTGGCCCAATTTGGAGAGACGGAATCGAACAACAACAACAGCATGGCCTTTGCTCTGGCAGCTCAAATTGATCTGACCATGTGCTCGTCCAGCTCGTCGACGTCGTCCGGGGTGCCTGCCACCAGCTGCCAATTGGGGAGTGGCAACGGCAACGGAAGTGGGAGCAGCTCAACCATGTCCATGTCCTCGATGCTGCCGCCCACAACGATATTGTCGTCGTCGGATCCTCTGCCGGATGTGGTCTTTCAGCCCAACGACTTCTCCTCAATTATGGCCACGCAGCAGCTGCGCTCGCCACGCCCATGCAGCATCAGCGGCGGAAGTCAGCTGGACTCTCACGACGAGGACAACTATAACAGCGCGCTGGACAACTCTGGCGGTAAGAAGCGACTGCAGAGACGAAGAAGCTGGACTTTCAACGTATTTTCCTTCGATTTCAGACGAATCTGGCTCGATGACGATGCAAATGCTTTCAATGTCAGCTGCAGGCGGCGCCACTTCCACACGCGGACGCGGCCGAGGACGTGGCTCGAGAGGTGGTGGCGCTGGTCGGAGCAGCAACAGTGGATCCTCTTCATCCAATCGAGCTGGCGGTAGCTCCAGCAATGCATCCTCTACGGCCGCGTGCCAGCCGCGGGCGCCACGGATGAGTCGAGGGGCCAGTGCCGTTGCCAAGGCCATCGCCATGAGTCGCCCCCGCTGCGTGGGTGGTCTGAAGCACACACCCGATCCCGAGAGGCTTAAGGGCCTGTTTAGTCCGGTAAGTGGTGGATCCACGGCTATGCATCCTTCGAGCCATAAGCCCATTGGTTTCCCATTTCCCATTGAATCGGTATAAAACCGATTCATTTTCATTCATACATAACATATGTGCATGCACCAAGCAACACCAACAACCGATGCAATGCTGGTGATGGTTATTATTATTCTAAGTCGTAGGCCACCAAGTCAGCTGCGATTGTTGATTTTATTGAGTATTGACTGTTATGTTTGCTCGTGACTGTGACTGTGACTGTTAATGTGGCATGTGTAACAGGTACAAATGTGTACTGTGCAGTGCAGGGCTTTTTCGCTCATCTCGGCGCATGGTGGGAAAAGGCGATTAAAATTTTCTTTGCTTCGGCTCTGTTACGTAAATGTTATCGACGCTTACACTGTTGCAAATATTGTGTCGTAATTAAAATCAAAGTTGCGCGCAAATTTCGCAGCTCACAGTTATAAGTACATATGTATGTAGACAGATGAAGAAGAGCAGCATAGAGCAGGACAGAGCGCAGTCGCTTGCTTTGGCTTTGCCTGTGATTTTAATCAGCTGAAGTTTTTGTTTGGCTCACGCCCACACACGAACAAAAGCGTATACGTGTGCCTTTCTATGGGACGCGAATGCCTTGGTGATGCACTTATTCGCTGGGTAGATAGTCCACCTTCACCACACCTGCTGCTGATTTCTGTAGGCATCGCTGCCTACACTTCTGGCTTTTCATTGTCATGTGCGAACATTTGCTCTCTCGCTCTGGCTACCTGCCCCTATCGACGAGCACTCTCTCGACTCGCAAAAGCTTTCTGGTTTTTGATTTTTTCTGCACGCTGGCAATGCCGCGCACAATTGTTGTCAGTGCTGCACGTCTAAACATCTGTAAAATGCAGTTGCACAAAAGCTTACCAATGTACATACATATACATATGTATACCCACACATGTACATACATACAGTTGCGGCAGAAATAATAACACTGTTTGGTACCACAGTCTTTATTGTTTCAAAAAATGATCTCTAACCAACATATTTTGCCCTTGACTATAATATCAATTAGGTTTACATGTCTCCTCTCTGATAGAAGTGTGCTTACTTTCAAATTCCTATCGGTTCTTATTACTAAAGGCAATTTTCCAAAAAAAGAAGCGAAATAGGACGGCAACAAAAATAGCACTAAAATTGGTTTTTTATAAAAACTTTTACTTTTCCGAGCTTTTTGATATTTTATGATCTTAATTAAATTACAATTCGGTGTCTTAAGTAGATTGTGGCAAGAACTTAACAAAATAAAAGTAGTTTTGGGCCTTAGAAAGCACTTTAGGTAAGAAAAAAGCAAGAGGATCAAAACTTTTATTCCAGAAGGAGACACCTATCTTTAGGTGAATCCAATTGTTGGTTGATCATTGAGCATTGATTCGCAATGCTTTAAAACATGCAACCAACAAAAAACACACGGAATAAAAGCCGCGATACCGCCATTTCCGGTCAAACTACTGCTTGATGAGAGCAAGAAGGACCCTTATAAATCGTCCACTGAGCTAAAAAAGGATCTTAAAAAATCGCCAAGGATAAGCAAAGTTAGTTCTTGCATACAAGAACATAAATTAAGTGCCAAAAGTCCGAGGAAAAATCCACTTTAGAAAGAAAGCCATGGGGCAAAGTGAGTACAGTATACAAATAGCACTGGAGTTGTCCCAAAGAAACATCATGTGGTCCGAAGAAAGTCAAATTGTTTTTTTTTTTTGTGGAAAAGGCTATCAATCTTATGTATGACGACACCTAATGCAGAATAAAAACTCCTGGCTAATATATAAAACGATTAAACACTCAGGGATAAGTATCATTGCATGGGCATGCTTTTCGTATTATTCAGGTGGTCCAATACATGGCACAAATAGGTGATGGATCAACATGTCTATATTAAAATATTAGAAAACAATGATGCTGCCGTATATGGAATGGAAAATGCCGTTGTTTTGTGTCTGCCTTCGGGACAATGATCCAAAACAGACCAGCAAGGAAGCTCGAAGGTGGTTCGAGATCAGTGTATTTAATGTAATTCATTGGCCTGCTTAGTCGCCAGATATGAACACCCTGAAAAATCTTTGTGCTAAAGCTAAAAAATATGTTTCCAATACGAAACCAAGGAACAATATTGATCTTTGGGGTATCAGGCATTATTGGTGGAGCCATATCTCCCAGGAAAGATACGAAAATGAGGTGAACTTTCATGACAAGACGCTGAGACACTGTGGTTGCTTCCAAAGGCTTTACAACAAAATATTAACCTTTGAATACAACTAAAGTAACCTACTTTAATGAAAATTTGGAAAGCTTCTTTTAAATTTGTTTTTTTTTTTTAATTTTTGGAACTCAGTGCTATTTTTGTTGCCGCCTAAATTCCTGAATAATTCCTTTTCTTTTTGATAATTTTCGTTTGAAGTCTGCAATACAAACTATTGCTTTCGGAAACATTAGATTATATCCTAAAGTATATATATTAGTTCTTAAACCGTTCATTAATACCACTGTTTAAACAAAATCCTTCAATACAGAAAATTGAGTGTCATGGTGCTATTATTTATGCCACAGCTGTATATAAAAATGTTTGTACCAATAAATAATCTTATTCATTAATAATTTGATAAATTGGAAATGTACAGTGTACACAACTAATGAAAAAAATACACAGAAGCAATGATATTTTTTGTTCGTAAACAAGCTTGCTTTTTCTATAATTATTTGTTTTGTTATTCCTCAATGAACAATATAATAATATTAAATACAAAATTTAAATTCTTAAAAAATTATATTTAGTAAATTTGTAAACGAAATCACAACAAATATTATTCGCTAGTCATGATAAATTCTTCGGGACACATTGCTGCGTTTATGGAAACTGTAGTGTCGAACCCCAACACTTTCAAAACTGTTTTTTAGATACTTCCACTCTTCCAAATTGAACTTATGTACGTATGTACATATGAATGTAAGCAATATAAATAGAAGAGATTCCGTTACATTTGATTTCTTTCTTCATGTTTTAAATGATTTTGGACAAATCGAAATCGTTTTTGACCGTTTCGGATGTACCTTATGTAATACAAAAGAATTAACAGTCTAACTAAGTCTAATGAAAATTTTGTACATATTGGCTATTCCGAAAAATTTTAAAACAAAGGCAGAAATTTAAAGTTGTTCAAAACTCAACAGTTTGTTCATGGAATAATATGACACATATTCAAGCTTCAAAAGATATGAGCAATATGGTTTTACGGTGGTTTGATTGTTCTTGGCAGAGGCTAACCTACACGTACCTCTTGCTTACATCGTGCTTACATTCACATTCGTGAAAAAAAAGGGTATTTTCCATGGTAAAAAAAAGTGGGCAAAACAGTCGTTTCAGTATTGAGCGCTTAGCAAAACTTAAAATTTGTTTAATTTTCTTTTACTTAAGATACAAATCATACTTGTAAAATATATAATATATCTTAAATGTGTAACGTCTGTAACGGAAAATTGGGTTTTTTTATTTTAACAGAATGAGTTTTAACAATTTTGTTTACCACAATAGCTTTATAAACAGAGCTTTTTATGCACTTTAATCTGATGAAAAAAATCTTTATTACACATTTTTTTGAAAAATACTAAGGGTAAAGTGTGTAACGTCCGTAACGGAATGAATACTCAAAAATTGTATTTTTATATTAGAGGGTGAAAGTAGGTGTTTCTAATGGATTTTCACCTGCTGAATCTGAGTCTGGGCTTTAAAAAGGTCTAGGTTGCCGAAAATCCGAAAAACTTTACCTCAAAGTAACAAAAAGTGTGTTTAATTAACATGCGATCCCCTAAACATGTAATATAATAGTAATGAATACCTTATACTTTTTTTTAAAGTAATAAATTAATAATTTCAAGGTTAAACAGTTTTGTAAATACATTAATATTTTTTATTTACACGATTTGGCTTGATGGAAAAAGTGTAACGTCCTTAATGTAACGTCCGTAACAGACAATTTTTTTTCAACGGTACTAATTATGCTTATTTTCTTTGATGAATTAATATGGTCATGTCTTCCTCTTAATTTGTTGTATGTTAACCTTTTTTGTTTATTATGCCAAATTCGCTACAAAAAAAAAAAATATGTACACATGCATGCAGCCTCAACTTCCATTTTTTGTAACGTCCGTAACGGAAATTTAAGCAAGCATAGTTTTTTTTTCAAAAACAGTTAACCTTTTATTTTAAAGTAAGTTTAAAAGAACGTGCCCAGAACTGCATTTCGTAAAAATTTCATGAAATATACTAATGTGAACGCCAGCTGTGTCAATTTGAACAATAAAATTTGCTTGGGAATGTAACGTCCGTAACGCAGGATTAGCCCAAATGTATATACTGTAGTAGAGTTGCGGCCACAGAAGCGACTCAAAACGATCCTTCTCGTTTTGTTTTGAAGATGAAGTGTAATATATTGTTGTGAGGACCTACATTCATATATTACGCTGAGCTAAGCTCAGTCTGTCCAGGATTCTTCTACAATAAATTTGTAGATCGCTGGAACCTCTAAGGAAAAAAAAGGGTTGTCCGGTGATCGACGTTGTATAGAATAACGAACCTTGAGTTCTTTGAGTTTATATTTAAGTATTCTTTATTTGTTCACAGTTGTTCTCTCGAGTTGGGGACTTGTAATTCGCGTCGAGTTTTGGACCGCCCGGCTGTATGGTCCCGCTTCGAGTTTCGGACTGCTCCTTTATGGACTGCCCTGCCCGTCTGTCCTATGGGTTACGCGTCGGGCTCTTGACTACATGTCTCTCCTTTCGAGCCATTGCCTTTTGTTGGAAGTTCGCGCCCCGGTCGATCCGCGAGTCCCCTATTTCTTAAACGGTTTCTTATTTCTGGCCATAATGGGGGATGGTGGGGATACAAACATATGTCGATGTGTGGTTGGGGCTGCTGATCGGACACAGAGGGTAAATCAACGTAAATCAGCAACTCCCAGGAGGTGTCTTATGTTCTGTTCTGTGAGAAATGAAAGTGGTCGATAATTGGTGTGTGTGTAATTTTGGTTTATGGTTACTGACTTATGTATAGGAATTTGATATTATATGGCTGCACCTGTGGCGAATCGTGGCAGCCATGATTCGTTACATTGTTCCTTGAGGAATACGAAGGAAATATGTACATATAAATATACATACATATGTATGTACATATGTAATATATAATAAATAATTTATTTTTGACTTTTCTCCTTTATACTCTGCTTTAGTCGCCCCAAGTTTTTGAGGAGGATACCCGCATGAGCGCCGATCTTGGGAACAGCAACCAATCCATGATGGGGAGCACAACGGAACCGCCGCTGACACCGCAGAAGTAAGTTTGTAATGAGTAACGAGAGCCCATGGGCGGGAGGGAAGAACTTAACTACATTGTTAAATCTTCCCCCAGGCAACCCGATTTCCTCAACAACGAGGAGTCGCAGTCATCGGTGGTGAGCAACGTAAGCATGCTGGACTCGAATCAGGGTCAATCCGTTGACGCCATCCTTGGGTCAGCGCTCAAACGCCCAAAGAAAAAGAAAATGGAGATTTGTGTGGCTGAAGAGTAAGCGCTCCTTATCCCTTATCATCTTTTCCACCTCGATAAACTAACGTTGTTTCGTTCTAACATTGCGCGTGCAGCACGGACTTTAATGCTTCCAGCATTGCCGAGTACGATTGGCCTCCACCGAAAGGCTGTTGCCCGTCCAAGAATCGCGATACCTTCATGATCCAGGAGCAGGTGGCTCTCTATCTGGGGATAACCAGCTTTAAGCGCAAGTACCCGGACCTACCACGTCGCGCCGTCGATATGGAAGAGCGCAACTGGCTGCAAGAGAAAGGACTGGTCAGCGAGAAGATGTGCGACCTGGGAATCACCGCCGTCTGGGCCTCCGACATACTGGACATAATGTATGCAGACTTCTACGACAAGTACGAGGAGTACAAGGAGTATATCCGTCTTAAGCACTTGCGTGAAATCGAGGCCAAGCAAAAGGAGCCCGGCCTCACAGTTGGCACTGTGCGTGGACTCCAGGCCAGAGACCGAGCCATGCTCTCGGCCAGCAAATGGAATGTTTACTTCAACAAGACGTGAGTTGAACTACGAAGCTGAGCTACGAGGGGAGAGTCTTTGAAAATGATTTGCTTGTTTCTTGTTTCGAATTTATTCAGCCGCAAAGATGAGCGTCTGGCTTGCCTGGACCTGCAGACTTTTACGATGAACCAGCCCCAGCTGCGAACAGCCCCCACGAATACCCGCCTACATCGCTCTGTTGGGGAAGCAAGTGGGGTTCGGGCAACAGCCGAGGCGGAGAATATGCTAATGCCCACAGATCTGTTGTATCCACGAGATGATCATTACGATGAAGCCTTCTGTCAATCGGACTATGCGTATCCGCTTCCCGTGGTGCCGGACCAGTTCTCATTCGGCTACCGCAAACTGGACTTCGTCGAACTGAGGTAAGCCAATTACATCGCTAGATCGAAAATTGCAACTCTACCTCTATCCAATCAATTCGTCCGTCCTTTCAGATCCTACCCATTGGATACAGCACTGGAAAAGCCACAGATACAGTCACAGACAGCAGGGCTAGAAGCTCAACTGCTGGAGCGCATTAACGGCGTTGCCTGCGCAATGGCCGACAAAGTTGCTGCCTCGGCATCCGAGGTTCAGCCTGCATCCAAGCCAAAAGAGTCGGTTTCTGTCCGACGTAGTCGCCGGTCCGCGCGGCAGCAGTCGGAAAAGGTGCGCACGGCCAGCAACTCCAGCATATCCTCCTCAGCCTCCCTCTCATCCTCGTTCAGCGACACCAGCAGCAGCAGCAGTGATTCGGTAAGTGTGCGGTGAAGCCAACAATTCGATATTTCCTGCAGTTAGAGCAGTTGCTAGAGCTACAAATTTAAACTTCAGGATAGTGACGATGAAAGCGACTCCAGCAGCTCGAGTAGCTGCATCTCAACAGCAGCCTCGAGTGCCGCCGCCAGCGACGATGAACGGAATGAATCAGCCCGTTCCCGGATATCTAATTGCGGCGTATGCCTGCGCACTCAACATCGTAATGCCAGAGATATGCCTGAGGTCTTCATACGCTGCTACAGTTGTCGACGGCGTGGTAAGTCCCAGTCCCCTTCCCCTTCTTCCTTCTCCTTTATCGTATTCACTCGTTTTGCAGTGCATCCGAGCTGCATTGATATGCCACAGCGCATGGTGGGCCGGGTAAGAAACTACAACTGGCAGTGTGCCGGGTGCAAGTGTTGCATCAAGTGCAAGAGCAGCCAGCGGCCCGGTAAGATGCTGTACTGCGAACAGTGCGACCGAGGCTATCACATCTACTGCCTCGGCCTCAAGACGGTGCCAGATGGTGAGTGGCGAACATCCAACATGCACGAGTCCCAGCAAGAGGCTGGGATTGGGATTGGTTGGCAGGGTTAATTTTTAATTTTTTCGACCTATCTGAATTGTAGGGCGATGGAGCTGTGAACGCTGTTGTATCTGTATGCGATGTGGCGCCGTAAAGCCCGAAGGCCTGCCCCAGGTATCTGCATTGGCATCGCCCTGTGGAGCCGGAGCCGAGGCGATGAAGGCCTCGCCCCGAAACAAAAAGATGAAATGGATACACGAATATCGCATCGACCACATCACAAAGCTGCGGGAGCATGCCGCCATGTTCTGTGTGCCGTGTGCGCGGATCAAGCCGGCTAAGCGACAGGCTGGACAGGGAGTAACAGCAGTTGGATCGGTCACAGTCCCCCTGATAACTAGTCGAGGATCAAGCCCAACGACCAATATAAGCCAAGTCCCATCTCCATCGCCAGTGGCTGCGCTGAGTCCCAAGAGTGCCTTGGTAACCACTACTCATGAGGAAGAGGCAACAACAACAACAACAACAATGACAGATAGGCGACAGCAGTCGCATGGAGCACCACCAAGTATCACCACGATGGAGTGCAGCAGCTTCAACCGGAACGGGGTCAGTGAAGATTTAGGAGCTGCCAGCGGCGCCGCTACTACAACTATAACTGCGACGGCCACAGCAACAGCCACAGCCATTTCATCACCTGCGCTGACAGTCACATCAGGGACAGGAGCGGCCACAGGAGCTACCACAGCAATAGGCATAGCGCCGCCTCCGGTTGTTGCCTGAGTGGGGGTTATTCGTTATTGTGGCAAGCGCACTTTAACGGACTTATAGAAAGCGCCGGACGCGGGTTCAACCAACCGCTCCTCCCCAGGCTCCCAATTCCAGTCCCAATACCTGCCCCGTTCCGCCCCGAAAAACCCTGCAACAACACAACCACACATGCATAGTATTGACGAATGGGACAAAAGAGACGAGAGGAGAGGAAAGAAGAGAAAGTGAAGCAACTAAATAAGGATTTATAATTATTATTATTATATTTTACTATCGGTACAACGTACTACACTATTGTTACTTAACGTTGCTCCCTAATGTTAAAAACACACAAACATGACAAGCACACACTGCATTCAGAGCACATGTGGAACTCTTCGCGTATCGTCTAGACAGCAACCTTCGTATTTCACACAGTTCGCACTTCATGGCGATTCACTGAAACTAAATTAGTTTAATTGCATGCATGTACATCTATATGTATATGTATGCGTATGCGTATGTGTATATGTACATGTTCTTGCACATGTATACATTTTATTATTAGCTTAATATCGGGGAGCTGCTTGATTGAAACGCTTTTACGAAATGCTGGATTGAAATAGCTTGGCCAGCAGCAACTGTGTTTTATCATCGTTCTCGTTCATGGTCCACACCACTGTTCCCTGTCGGTGTTGGCCTACAAAGAACATTTGTTTTTTTTTTTTTTTTTTTTTTCATCGAAATAGTATGTTTAATGTTTGGATAAAAGTTATCTGTATGTGTCTCAGCACCACACCCAACCACACCCCCCACCCCCCGATTATTACTATCATTGCTGTGCTATATATATTTACATATATGTGTACGCAATACTCTTTGATTTTGTAATATCTTATGCACCGAATTTTTCAAGTTGTATGTGTATGTATCTATAAGGATAAGGATTGTAAGCCTTGTAAGCCCCGTTAGAATTTTAAGTAGTTAAGTACATACGCCAAGCAGAGCAGTCTTTTATGCGGGATGCGGGACTGCTTGGTTCTTTTTAATTTTCGAGTTCCCTTTAGTTCCGATTTAGTGTGTAAGCCATGATAAAGTTGAGTTGATTTCGAAGATCAGACCGAGGAGGTTGAGCGAGGAGTTATTCTGTAGTTTTAATGGCTAAGAAGAATGTATTATACATGTAATTTATGCTACCACAAGCGTACACACAGATACAAACAAATACATGCGTATATATTTATAACTTTAAAGAGTAAGCACAAGAGCACAGAACAAGTACGTACGTCAAACAAAGCGACTAGAAAATGCAGAAAGCAGAGATCAGAAGCAGAAGCAAAATATTGAAAAGGTAAACTATGTGTGAAATAATTTTAGATACAATATCTGGTACCGCCGCAGCAGCAATAGCGATCGATAAATAAATAGTTAGTAGTAAGCATCAAGTCTACTTAACCAGAAGCGGATACAGATGCGATGCGATCTGTGCATTCGGTAAAAATCTACTTTTCCATGAAATCTAATTCTTAAGTTTTTATTAAGTGAATAATGATTGTATACATACGAGAAAGATTTATTTTTAAGTCAAATAAAACAGCAGCATTAACATTAACATCTTTGCCTTGCTACACATTTACCAAGCGATTCTGGGCATTAAGCGCTTCTCCAGATCGTGTCCATCGCGCCACCCCAACACCGAGCAACACAGCATATTGGTATGTGCCACCATCTTGCCTTGCAGTTCAAATCCGAGCCGAATGCAGGCCACGTCGCCAGGACGGAGGCGCTTCATGGGACAAAGATCATTGCAGCTGTCACCAACGTAGACTACTTGCTTATAGATCTCGCCAACGCGCATCTGCTGCAGCACGCCTCCCTTACAAAGGTTACGGGCACAGAGATCACAGCCAATCTGGTCTTCGTAGGGTAGCATCAGCAGGCTACCGTTCGCCTGAACGCAGGCAGCATTGGTCTTAATGTCGGTGAACAGGCAACTGATGCCGTACGACTCCAACCACTCGTTAATGAAAAACGTGTTGGCATCGCTAATGATACACATGTCCACGGTAGGGGTTCTGTTGAGGCACCGCATCAGATGTAGCATCCCTGACACCGCCGGAATCCTGCGTATTTGCTGGCCGACTGCTGTCCTTGAATCCAGCTTGTGCTCTTCATGCAGCAGATGGAGCACGCGATTAATATAGATCTGCCAGCCAAACTTCGGTATCATTTCTAGCAATGACATGTTGCGCCTTTCCTTCGGGAGAAGTTGGCTGACCACCAGGTACGAGTCCTGCTCAATGATGGTCTTGTCAAAGTCAAAGGCTACCAGAATGCGACTCCCAACATGCTCGCCCTCGCCCTTCTGGTACAGGAGACGCGGGCAGCGCCAGAAACAGTTTCCAGTAACTCTAGGTACAGAATTTTTCAAAATGATAAACATTTATAATTTGAATGAAAAAGAAATAACTTCATTTTGATTTAATACAACTGGTCAAAGCACATCGATATCTATAGGCTTATGCGAATATTTAGAGTCTAAACTCATACCAGTAGGTACACATGTAAGAGAAACCATGGTTTTCTGCCAGTTTCTTGTGATCTGACTCTCCCACGTTTTAATCCATTCATGCGAGCCCGCCCAGATACAGTATTGGCTGACAAATTAATCTTTAACATGCAAAATTGATAGCGTAAACGTAAATATTATCCCCGGTAATAGGTTTTTGTTTCATATTCAGCGAAAAATCCGTTTCCAAAAGGTTCAACTATAAGTAAGTTTATAAGTAATTAGTGTAGTTCTGTAGATGGTACTATCCAACACAACAGCACTTCAATATTTTTTGTATCATAGTATTCTCCAATAAGCTTTCCCCAAATGTATGTTTGTCTCCATATACTCATAAGAAATCAGTAGATTTAATTTGCTAGCTATAAAAATTGGAGTTTGGTTTCTGTGCATCAGGTGAGCTGTTCCAAAAATGTTGTCAGCGTGGAAGACAATAAGAATATTTTTAAATTTTCTTTGACTCAGGGTTCTACTGATGCTGATAACGCCATTTCATTCCATTTCATCGGCCAATGCCAATTAAACTGTCGTCTGAACATTCTGAACGGCCTTGGAGAGTTCCACCTTGGAAGGTATCAAATAAAAAGCCGGCGACAATGTTTCGCCGCAAGGACACTGGCAGGCTGCAAAGGTATATTTAAAGAAATAGAGTAGTATTAGCAGATTATATGAAGCCATTATAATAAAACGAACCATTGATCCAGCTAAAGTTGCCCAGCTTTTGCTCACACTTGGGGCAGTACAGACGTCCTTGGGTGTTGAGCATAATGCGGTGCATCCAGGCAATTGGTTCTACAAACAAAATGCTGCGGCAATGATTGGGTGTGCTCTCGTGACCTGGCGAGCCCAGTGAGGATTGCCGTATGCGCTCAGCAACCTGATCCAGGAGTCGGGGTGCGCTTATGTTGTTCGGCTGGGTCTCGGCCGGCGCTGGAGTCTGTCCGCTGACATCGTCATTTGGGACAGCCGTCGCTGTTCCCTCACGATGGGGCCTGTCGCGCGGTTTGTGCTCGAGGACATGAGACTTGGAAGCCAGAACGCGACGGCAACGACGACAACGAAAAACAATTGGCTCGGGATTTTCGCGTGTTATGTCTGGATCTGGACGCACAACGCTGTGGAAACTCTGCGGTAGAATCTTGGCCTTCCGCATTTGCTCCCCAGCAAGGCGCAGCCGATGCATTTTATATCGCTGGTAGTTGGGGTCGATTTTGCATCCCATGCGCCGAAACAGCTTCAGTTGAGTAATAAAGCCTGAGTTTGGTTGCACAAAGCGTCGCTTGGCCTTCACCAGCTCGTAGGCGGGTTGAAAGTTCAGATTGTGTCGTTTCATCATGTATGCAATAACCGTCGAGGAGCTACGGCTTACTCCAAAATAGCTAACGGGGCAACGGGAAACGAAAAATTATAAACTAATTTTCATCTCATTCGGAATACGATATGCTTACCAATGTACAAGCACATTGCCCTGCTGATCCACAGCTGAGCTAATAAAGTTCACGCAGCCTTCTAGATGCTGCAGGATGTCTTCGCGCGGCATGTCAGCAACTAAAAATACACACTATACTTCATTTGTGAACTCGAACAACACCTTCTGGCTCCACTTACTTTGAATGTATTTTGTTGTGAGGAAGCTAGCCTCTAAAATGTGCTGCGGCAGTGGTACCGAATCAAGCGTCAGGATGTGGGTAATTTTAAACGACTTCAGTGTTTCCATATGCGTGGCCGCCGTCAAGTTTCCTAAGCGAGCAGCCTGATTGTGACAAAATCAAGCGATGACCAGGACCTGTTATGCTTACCCAGAAACAAGCCCGTCTCGATTTCATCAATGCTGACAGGCCCACCATCGAAGTCTTCACGTGCCAGGAAGCCAGAGTCCTGCGGCTTGCCTGACGACCGCGCCTGCGGTTTTTGCGCCATTTTATTGACAACTGTTGCACCCAGGAAGACAGTGTACCCAATGTTCACTATTTAAAATTGGGATTACAAACATGCTTGATACAGACCAGACAGATAGATCTGGTATTATAATCAAGGCTACAGCTACCTTATTCTTCGTCGTCCGCACAGAATTCAATATTTGTTTCTGGTTTATCGATATACTGATTTATCATATATCGATAAGAGGATGTTGGTTCCGATACTTATCTTACCATTGTTTTCGCTTCTCTACCAGATGGTGCTCTGAAAAAACTAGATAGGTATACGGCGAGAAATCACTTAAATTAGTAAGAATGACTACGCTGAGACCCTTCACCTGCGACGATCTTTTTAAATTTAACAATGTGTAAGCTGTGTGTACAAAGAGGGGGGGAGGGAGGCAACAACTTAACCAACTCTATTCACGTGTTCATTCAGGAATTTTGACCCACTTACGGAAACCTACGGACTGTCGTTCTATACGCAGTACCTGGCGAAGTGGCCGGAGTACTTTCAGCTGGCCGAATCCCCCAGTGGACAAATAATGGGCTATAGTAATTTACCTACCACGCAATGTTCTATCACAATATTCCAGAAATCATTTATGTGCCTATCCATTTCAGTTATGGGAAAAGTGGAGGGACACCTCGACAACTGGCACGGACATGTGACGGCCCTAACTGTGTCGCCCGACTACAGACGGCTCGGATTAGCTGCACTACTGATGAGCTTCTTGGAAGACATATCGGAAAAGTAGGTACTCGGCCTTAGTCCCACAGAAGAGAAGAGAAAAAAATAAGAGCATTCAACTGTTTTGACTCTCTAGGAAGCGGGCGTACTTTGTGGATCTGTTTGTACGCAAGAGCAACCAGGTGGCCATTAATATGTACAAAAACCTTGGCTACATCATTTACCGCACTATACTCGAATATTACTCGGGCGATCAGGACGAGGATGCGTATGGTAAATCTGTGTACACTGTACAGATTAAGTCTAAGGCCTCGCTAATTTTCCTCCTCCCCCGCAGATATGCGAAAGGCCTTGTCGAGGGATGTCAACAAAAAATCGGTGATACCGTACACGCAACCTGTACGATTGGAAGATATTGATATGAATTGATCCGTTAATTAGTATTAAGATAAAATTCGTAAATAATCTAAGAGTTTTGGTCTGTTAGTCTGGTGGTAACAAGAAATTTTATCCCATTGACTGCTTGCCAACCGAACCTACAATGAGATCCCCCAAAAAACCCAACTCAGTTACATTTGATTAATACCTCCAGTCTATCAAAGACATTGACACTTCTATAATTTTATTGAATTTTAAATTATTTAAAGATTTCTTAAGCCGATGCGTAAATAACCGTATTTGAATAGAATGTTCAACACGTCTAAAGGTAAATAACGTAAGCAACTTGTTCAGTTCACATCTGTAAATTACAACAAGTATCTAACATAGCACATAACATATCTATTATCTAACTCATGGAGCGTATGTATGATTTTCTTAATTTTCTTAAACGTTTCTTGCAGATCACAATGCGCGAACTGCGCCATCAAACCACTCACTAAAACTAGCAGCAATACACATTAGTATATTCACTCAAATACATAAATAAATAAATATGTAAAAACAAATTCCCATTTAGGTGTTTGCTTTTATTATTATTATTATAAAGAACGATTTGTATATGTGGATTTCTAAAAACCATTCAATGATTTGGTTTGAAGGATTATGTTGGCCCAAAATATTAAGACATATGGGATTAGTTTTTAACAATTAAACATTTTTAGCTGCTTTGCAAATCGACTTATATGCCCAATTCTAAATTGACTCCTCCTGCAGCTATGTCGGTGCGCAAATTAGAAACAAAATAAAACTAGTCGAAACTTTTGGAGTCACGGTACACGTGTTACGTCGAAATATGTAATACCTGGGTACTGAGTTTCAACATGCCTATTAAATTATGTGTATTTACTGCTAAGTAACTCTGTGTGTGGGAGAGGAGGTGCAAGAGGCAGGGAAGTTAGCCCCGGGAAATTTTTTGTATTCGTAATTCGTTCGGGCTACTGCAATAATAATCCGATCGGAACAAGATCTGAACACAAAATCCGGTTGCTCTAGCTCTTATATGTATAGTTTCTGAGAACGAGGTCTTAAACTCAAACCGGTCAGATGGACAGACATGGCTATGGGGTAAAACGGTGCGACGCACCGGGTCACTCAAGTTTAGGTGTCCAATATCAGGGGTCCCCGGCTCTGACCAGCAAAAACTTTAAAATTCTGGCTGCCACAGATTTTTGTTGTATATTATTTTAGGAGCACCCAATCGAAAAACCCAATCGACTCAGCGGATAAAAAAATCATAGCTGCGATACAAAATGTGACAAATAATATGATTCTATATATATATATATATATATATATATATATATATATATATAAAAAAAATAAACCAGGAAGTCCAATAATAATCTTAGCACTATGTAAATATAAAAATATATAATTGTATTTGAATGAAATTAAAAGAAATTCCATCGATAATTTCATATGGAATGTCACCTAGTCACCTAGAAGAATCACATGTGACATCATGTAGGACATAGTTTGAAGGGTCACGGGTGACTTCCTACAGGACATTTTCGGAAGTTTTCCATATAAAACGACAAGTGACAAATGACTTTTGGTACTGCAGCATAATATTGTACATACTATATGTATATTTATATTCCATATACTATTTATTTATTTATGGACATTCATGAAGATTCTGGCGTTTGGCAGTAAATAATTGTCTTCATGGCAACACTAGTTAAATCAATATTTACATAATGTTGCACTAAGTATGTATGTTGTTACCAATGGAATAAATAATCATGAATCAGTATGCAGAAAATGGCAAAGAAGGGCGGAGTCCAACAGCTTCAAGCGGACATCAGTACAGACGAGGAGTTTGAGAAATTTCTGCAGCGATCCGGGTTGCTCGGTATATGTAACTTGGACTGGGACTGGGACGGTCTGACTTGATATCTGTGCAATCAATTTCTTGCAGTACTCGACATATACTCGGAATGGTGTGGACCCTGTCTTGGAATGGTGGGAAGTCTGCGGAAGATCAAGCTGGAGCTGGGAGGCGACAACTTACAGCTGGCCATCGTAAGACCCGATTTGCTTGCCCAGCCCAGACTCATTCTCATTCTCTCGTTTGCTTGAAAAATAGTGCAAAGCTGGTTCCATCTCCTATTTGGAGAGGTTCAACAAGAAAAGTGAGCCGACATGGATGTTTGTTACGGTAAGTGCATCTGTCGACTAGTGGACTGTAAACAAATCTACTGGAGATGGGGAACCGTTCTGGTATTTGGTATTTTATAGGGCGGAAAGGCCATCAATATCATGTTCGGCACAGACGTGCCCAAGCTGGTAGCCATTATCACCAAGATGCTACAGTCAACAATGGCCAAGGAGGTCCATCAGAGCTATGAGATCACTGAACTACAGCCCATTGAGCTGGAGCAGCAGGAAGTGAAAAACAAGGCTCTGCGGCTGGCCGAGAACATTGAGTTGGAAGAGTGCAAGAGGAAGCGCTTGGAGTACCTGAAATCTGTCACTGATTGCATCATGCAGAACCTTCCCGATATTGGGATAACTGTCTTTGGACCACAAGTCAACCGGGAAATGTTCAAGAAGCTATCGGAACCGGCCGATCCCTTGAAAATCCAGTGCAAGGACCGCAAAGTCTTTACCATAACGCGAAGTGACTTCACCACTGTGAACTTTGCATCTGAGAATCCACTAGCGAGCGATGTGATCGAGCAGTTGTATGACAAGGAGCTGCTGATGTGTTTCTGGAAGGTGGAGGATGCTCTTGGCAGTCCGCCCAACGTCCTGCGGCAGTACGCCCATGAGCTGACCAAGGAGACCATAAAGCCACCGGATGAGTTCAACGAGGAGGAGATCACAGTGCCACCCATAATAGTGCCGCTCGATGTTACTGTGCAAATTAAAAGAGAAGGTAAGTGCGTGCTGAAGTTGTGCACTCAACTTCCCATTTATGTACATTGTATGTACACATTGTATGTAATGTGGGACAAGTGTGTGAAACCGAGGCAGAAATAGTACGTGTCGAACAGCTCAATGACAATAAAGAAGAGGACAAAAGCGAGGTGGACAACGAAGCAGCAGAAGATCGGGACGAGGGGAAATTGGAAGATTCTACAAATTTTAAGACCATCCGCATTCCTCCGATTTGGGTGCCTAGTGACCAGCGCACCAATGCAGCTCTAATTTACACCTATTTCCGGGGGCAAACATCCGCTTTCCTACCGCCCGACCCTGTTCCGGAGCCACCGCACATTGTGATGACATTCGACGCCTACAAGAAGAAAGATCTGGACATTCTTCTTGAATCCTGCAGAGAAGATATTCCGCTTTACGGCTTCTTTACAAGCGACAATCCTCAGACGGCAGTTTTCATAGCCAATTCGGTCGAGAAATACAATGCAAAACCCTATGTACCGTAAGTAGATATCTCGTCAACCGCCGAAATTCGCCCGAATAGCATTTTAACCGTCAGTTTTTTACACGAACGAACGAAGCACCGATAAGATCGTCCTGAAGGTGAATAAAGTCAAGACACAGACTGTACCAATGTTAATGGCTTACGGTCCCAGCTATGTAAGCACCAACTCGGTTGTTGGCCACAAGGAGGCATGCCAGTTTTTCCCGGACAATTACAAATCAGCATTGCAAGAGGAAGCTGAACTACACGCAGTAAAAGCTGAGAAACCGAAGAAACGCAAGAAGGTATCAAATTGTTGTTTGTTTTTTTTTTTTATCATAAATGATACTAGAACAATTTCATATATGTATGTACATATAAAGAACAAGAAGGGAGCTGATGCAGACGACAACGGGAAGGCCGACGTTCTGTCAGAAGCAGAAGCCCAACAAGAATCAGAGGAAGCGGCAAAGACCACGCCAGAGGAAAGTGCCTCCACGACAAGTAGTGGGGAGGACAGCTGTGAGAGTCGGCCACCTACTGCTGATGGCAACAATTCCTCTGCAGACCGCGGCACAGGTGTCATAACAAAATGAACGAAATATGGATCATTATATCATATCATTTAAATGAATTTTCCTTAGTTTTATGTTAAATAAAAAGTATAATTTAATAAACTGTTAACAGACATATTCAGGCAGGCTCCGGTTTTCGCTTTCACAAAAAAAATGTGATTTACTTTTCAAAACGAAAAGTCAGGCGCTCCCGCACTCGTAAAACGCAAGACTTTTCCGTTTTCAAAACGGCAACAAATTCCTCGCCGAAATGAAAGTAAACAGCTTTTTATACAACTAATAAAAAATCTTAATTGCAAAAGGAAAAAAATGTATGACATAATGATGCATTGACATGAATTTGACACCATTACCAGTGCAATTGGTTTTGTGCCCTTTTTAAAAATAATTTTTATTTAAACTAACCTCAAAACTAGACCTGAAAAAAATTGTAAGGGCAACAGCAAATTGTGAAATCCTCCGAACCGCTGTGGCAGCCCGATTTGGCTATCGATAAATCTCTGTTAAAGATAACAGAGGCATTTTTGTATGAGCTGGCACTAACGCGTGGGTATAACAGTAGTAAATTTGGCGCTTATAGCGATAAGACATTAAGCTTTGCTAACTGACTAGCTGAAAAAATATAAAGATGGCCTTATTGGAAATGCCTGCAATCAGACTGAGAGAACTATATGCGTCAAGCTAGCTGTCTAGTTGAGCTGGGAGCAGCGCTGCGGCAGAACTTATCGAAAATTTTACTTTGCGGATGCAATTCTGCTGTGTCAAGTAGTGCCTCAGTTGTTCTACTAAAAGCCATTAGACGTCTCTATAGACGGCTACGAATAATAATGTTGCATTTTGTCTCTAGTGCTATCCCTCTCTACGCAGCAAAATTGTCTAAGTCTAATGTAATATGGCTATTAACAGTACAAAGAGTAAACAAATTCACAAAAGTGGATTCCAGAGCGCCCTGAAATGAAAAATATGACTTTTTGTTGAAAAGTAAAACGCAAAGTGAATGTGAAAACCGGAGCCAGCTGATTACATTCCTTTCGATTATTCGTACTGTGCTTTTATTATTATCATCTCTATATACTATCGGCTCATCGATATTCCAGTTTTGTAGACAGAAAACATTCAATCAGCTGTTTTCCCAATCGCAAGGATTTATAAATTTTAATTGTATAATTTCTGTATTAAAACACAACTTTGTTGTCAGTCTTGGCTAATCGATGGATTCCAACTTGCGCAATGTAAGTACTGTTGAATGATAAAATATGCGGTAGTCCTAAATATACTCACTTTCAGCTGAAAGATTTTCTTACATTATACAACAAAGTGACTGAGCTGTGTTTTAGCCGATGCGTTGACAACCTGAATCAGCGAGAGTTGGGCGGCCACGAGGTGAGTAAAACTATGCGCTTGTTAATTCGTAATTCGCAATCCTTACCTTGTGCTACTTGAAATCAGGACACTTGCGTGGATAGATGTGTCACCAAGTTCGCTCGATTTAACCAAAGTATGATGAAAGTCTACGTGGATGTACAAACAACAATAAATACAAAGCGCATGCAAGAAGTCGAGGAGAATGCCAGGAAGTTAGAGCAACAGCAAAAGGAAGACCGTCAAAGGGAGGAGCAAACTCAAAAAGAAGCCGCTGCCGCTGGCACTTCTGTGTTGACGCCAATACCGCCAACCGCAGGAAATCTATCCATGTAACAGCAGACTCTGGTGCCAAGCCATGCCAAGCCGCAGCTGTTCCTTGTACTTAAGATAGTCAAACAAACCATACACATAGAAACCAACACTCAAACACATACACACAATACCGTCAAAACTTCAGACGATGCCGCCTAAAATTTGTCTGCTTGCGCTCATTGGTCTGCCGGGAGCGGGAAAGTCCGCGCTCAGTAACTGGCTCTTAAGTAAGCAGCAGGGTGCTCTGAATGAATGTCAAATTGTTCACCTGTGCTATGACGACTACATCAACACCCGAGCTGAATTGACCTATAGGGAGCAGCGCATAATTGTTATAAACATTTTGGAACAACTAATAGCTTATATCCAAGGTGCCGCAGACTGGCCACCACAAGTTCGCCGACTGACAAACAATAGCAGCAGCTGTGACTACCTTATCTTGTGTGACGACAACTTTTACTACCGCAGCATGCGCTATAAGCTATATCAGCTGTGCCGCACCTATGGCTGCATCTATTCCCAGATTTACATCGCGACCCCATTGGCTTGCTGCCTTCAAGCGAATTCAGCGCGGGGAGCAGATTGCGTGCCCGAACTAGTTGTGCGTAAAATGAACGACCGCCTTGAGCCACCAGGTCATGAGGCTTGGGAGTGCAGTAGCCTTACACTTCGAAATTCTGACACTGAATCCGTGTCACATTTGATTTTAACATTCATCAGTTCATTATTCCATTTGTCCACGATTCTGACCCCTCGAACCCCTTCTCCCACGCAAACACAGATAAGGTCCCAAGCCCATTGTTTAGATTTGGCCTTGCGGGCAAGCATAAAAGTGCAGCTACAGACTCTGGTCGAGGCAGAAGCTAAGAAATTGATCAGTATGAAATTAAATGAGAAACGAAAAGAGATATTAACACAATTTCGGGCTAAAATGAGCGGCAAGCAGACAGATGCCAATGGTGCGAATTTGAATTACTATTTAAATCTGTTGAAATAGTTTAAGATAAATTAATTCTGGTTGTGTGGCACACGTTGACATAGAAATAAATAATTTTTTTTGTACTACCATTTTTGCATTAACTTCTATGCGGGAGAGGGATACACGGATGCTGCACACAAAGTGTATACATATGTATGTATATTAAAACTATATTTAGGCAAAATAAAAATTTACATTCTAGCGTAGGGTTTCCTATACATTGGCTACTTAGACCACCTTTACTTGGCTAATGTCACGCTTCTCAATCATACGCATCTGCTTCTTCTTCATACGTTTAATCTTTGAAGGATTCTTGATGACTTGGACGATTTCTGAGCGACGTTCGTTGGCCAAGCGACGCTCCGCGTTCTCCACGCGGCGCTGGTGACGCTGAACGGCTGCTTCCTTCCGTTGACTCTTAATTTCATTTGATTTTTCCTTGATATAGCGCAATTCATTCCGTAGGGCTGCCTTCTTCGTAAACGATAGACGGTTCACGGTCTTCTTAATTGTGCTGAATCTAAAAAATATTGGAAATTAATTCATATCATAACATCCCATCGCAGGCAGAGTCCTCACTTTTGTTTCGGAGTTTTCCAGGGCCGATTGGATTTCGGTTGACCGCGCGGCATATTCGCCTGCGGCTGTGATTTCTTAGTATTTGGCTTTTTCTGTGGTGTAATTCCGGCGCTTGCAGCGTCCATTGTCTCAGCTACGGCTTTACTCATATCTTCACTTTCTTGTCTTGTCCAAAACGCGAATCTAAACAATTGTGCACGTGTTAGTTAGTTAATCGATATATCGATGGCATTGAACATTGTTAATACTGTATCGATATGGATGATATTTTTTTATCTTTGATGCCATTTTTCCGCCCACAATTATATAAAATATCAAATATCGCCTTATAAGAACATTCTTTTCTGCTCTATGCTCAGCTCAAAGTCTTACCGCAAATGGATAAACTCTTAAATTCAATTTAATTTGTATACTAGAATTTAATATATCGAAATGCGATATTTTTTCAGAACAGACCATATGTTTCAATATGTAGTCGGAAGTCACATAGCAGTATTTGGTCACACTATCAGAAAAGCGCCGCTTCTAACATATTTCAACGAAATTTTTGTTGCGTGTGGAGAGGGCTGGCTGGATTTCATACCACACACACCATTATCATTTGGAAACTACAGTTAGTTTCTGGCTTAAAAACGCGACTAAGCGCATGGCGATTAAGTATTCCATTTATAATTCAGAAATACAGAGACAAATTGAAGAACCTTTTCACCATACAACTACATGCATCGCCATTCAGCATTTGTCCCGCCACTGGCACAAAACAGCGGTAAATTCTTTTTTTGCGATCTTGTACATTTTTTTCGTTTTCACAGAAATTATTTTGTTCCAAACAGAAAATGGGTCCGCGCTCAACAATAGCGCAACGCATGTTGATCATTGCACATTTTAAAAATGGCTACTCACATGGAAAGATTGCAAGTATGGTTAATATGGCAAGATCATCAGTGCAAACCATTATTACGCGTTTCGTGCGGGAGAACCGTGTCCACAATAAGTTCAGGAAAGCAACGAACAAAATTTTTACGGAACTCGAAGAAACAATGATAGTTCAACAATATCAAAACAAACCCACTACTATCCCAAATCTACTGAAATATGTGGAAAAACAATTTAAAAAATCGTGCAATTTGGAGACAATACGTCGGGTGCTCCGGGCGCAAAAACTCTTTGATGAAACTAATAATAACATGACGCTTTCAACCGAGGAAATTACCGATGATAACAAGGCCTTTTTATCCATAGAAAGTGTACCGAGCCGGATCTCGTTTGCTAAGGAGTATTTGGCGAAAGACTACGTCTTCTGGGACTCTGTAATATTTACAGGCGTTGCTGAGTTCAGTCCAATGTACTCGAAAATCGGTCTTAAGGAACACCATGAGATGATCATGAAGTACAAGGGTTCCACCCTTGTCGTTTGGGGCTGTATTTCCGCGGCCGGGGTAGGAAACTTGGTGTTTGTTAAGCGAAATATGACCAAAAATAGGTATCTTTCAATACTCAAAGAAAATGTTGTCCAATATGCCCAGAAATTTGGAATCGAGAACATATTTCACTACTACCAAAATAATAATCGAGATCATGAAAAAGCTATTCAAGAGTGGGGTATTTGGAATTGTCCACACGTTATGAAACCACCAGGTTATGACTTAGACATTAATATAGTTGACAATTTATGGGAAATTTTGGATCAAAACCTAATTTTCCATTCAATAACCGATGAAAATGACTTACAAAAAGCACTCTCTGAGGAATGGGAAAAAGTAACGCCCGAAATAGCTAAAAACTTGGTAAGGACCCTACCTAACAGACTTCAATACATAGTCGATATGGCATAATAGCCGATGCCTTGAGGAGCATTTAGCAATTTGGAATGGATTTTTTTTTATTTTTTATTTTTCATTTATTCATATGTATGTACATACCTACTATTACTTAAAAACCAGAGATAAAAAGTATTACTCAAATGTTTTTGTTACCAATATAATATAATATACCAATTTAATTTTGTTACACTCTAATTTAAGAAGTTAAAACATTGAGACCTTTGAAAGCGTTTTGATAATTTTTTAAAATATCTACCTATTATCTTATAGCCTTTATTTACAGACGTATGATCTCTTTAACATGAAGTATTTTGTTTTTATTTTTACTCATAAATTACCTTTTACGATTGCCCATATGTACGATTGATGACCAGAAACAATTTTGACAAATATATGAAGTCTGTTTTCTTTAATTTCAAAGAATATTTTGAATTTATTTCTCCGTGTTGCTTGTCCATGCAGAGTTCGGATAAGGTAATTCATGCTTTCAACTTACTTAAAGAAGCCTAACATTATTTTTGTTGTAGAAAACACATTAGGGATAGCAGTAGCGAATGTGACTCGCATGTACTGCTTCCAAACGGCTCGACCGTTTAGTATGTAATGTATTTTTTACCTCCCTACAACTACCCACCATTTTGTATTACATTCTGATGATTAATATGCAAATACCCCGTAGATAATGTAATCATAATTAAGTATGATTTGATCTATATGGGTGTGTGTGTGACGTGTTTTGTGACTGTAAAAGGCTTGCATACCGATTTTTATCGCCTTAAACAGTAATTTGGTCAATTTGTGTGTGCGTGTTACAGTAAAAAATATTGAATATTCCGCCCAACTGAAAGAATTTATTGGTGCTAAAGACAAAGCATTGGTGCTATCCCCATTGTCATGCACATAAATTCAATCATGAATCAGATGGTATTTATTGAGATACCACCAGAACCAATGAACGATTCAAGCCAAGTCTGTTCCTGAAGTCCATTCGCACATTCAATTCATGCTCCGAATTAAATCGTTCGGAGAAACAGAAATAGTTTAGAGTACTGCGGCAAATGGTTTGCCGGGTCAGTTAGTTCTTGCGAAAGAATCAAAAGCCAAGTCGATCCAGCTGTTTCCGTCTATCTGGGGGACATAATTCTGCATATTGACCAGTAATGCATGCTTGCATCTAATAACACTTGATGGCGCTAAAACGAGTATTTTCCAAAAGCAAAATAATTCTTTATACAACTAAAAAAAAAAAATTTTTTTTTTCCTGCAATTAAAATTTGGTGCCGTAGCAAAATTTGGTAATTTGATTTATTTTATGTTTTATTGGGTGAAAAATTCTAAGATGAAACTAAATGGTGTCGGTGTCTTCATCATGTATGCAGATGTGTTTACCATAAATTTTTCAATAAAACTATACAATTTACCAACGCGTTGAGGTTTGAATAGCGCCAGCAGATAATTCCAGCGCAGCGATTCGGTTGCATCTTTGGCTTAATTTACATATTTATATACATTCAAAATGAGTGCGGTACCGCCAGTGCGACGTTAGTTGAACTTGTCGCACTTTCCTTGGGCTTAGTCCGAGCTATGGGCTGTCTTTGGCCTCCGATTGTGTGGTATTGAGAGAAGCGCCTCATTGTGTTGGTCGACATTGTAATGGTAAAAAAAGGACTTGCCGTACTCGAAAGATGAAATCATGATTGCACATGCAGGCGCCACCTTGAAGAGACGTGGTCCAAGTCCAGCGAAAATGCCGCGTACACCGCTCAGGCGGTAAATGCTAGACAGGCGAGTCATAGCCGACTTTGTGGCCACATTTTTAGGTAGATTATCTGCCGTAATGCAAACCGAACCATTGTCAATGCGTGTGGAGCTTGTTGCAGCGCCCGAGATAGCAATAGGCCTACCTGAGAATATAAATTTCTCGCCAAACTCGATTTGCTCGTGGGTTTTGATCACATCAAACGGTGTGGTAATCATGGCAGCGACCTATAATGTTGAGCATTCGATTAATTTATTAAATGCAAGCTCATTACTGTTTAGAAAATCAATCATACCGAGCCAGATATTGCTCCCGCTGTGAAACTGAAGCCGAACGTTGGTTCGACCACATTAAAGCTGCTTTTAAGGTACTCGTAACAGGTCCAGTAGATGCCCGAAAATGGGACATCGCGTAGTATTGTTGGCGGCAGTCCACGCCACAGCCCAAGAAGTCCCTCAGACTGTACCACCTGACGGATAGTCCCAAGCATTTCGGCGTGCGTCATCCTCTGAGACTGCATTTTGGTGCGTATCAATTCAACAGGACTAACGCAGGTCACGGCCAGAATGCGAGCTGTCACGCCCGCCAGCAAGGGAACAAGCATTGGAATGTCGCGGTCATCGGGTGAGCTTTGAACTGGGTCTAGGCTTAGCAAGTACTTGTAATGGAAGTCCGTAAAGCGAGCTTTTAATTGTTCGTAGGCCACAAAGTATATGATGGTCGAGGGCAAGGCCGAGATGAGCGTGGGACTGAGTCCAGACCATAGCGAACCAACTCCCTCCGCTCGACTTATCTTAATGAACGCGTCCTGCAAAATCACAGAAAACTTTAATATACTGCAGAGACTAGGCGCAAAACCTACTAATTGAATACTTACAATGGTGCCTGAAAAGTGCGGAGCAGGCTTGGACAGTGTCGGGTTTGGCGTGCCAGGACCGCATGGACAGATGTGATCCATGAGGCCGTTGCAATAAAGGAAGCATTTATTCGAAAGCAGAGCCGACTGTTGAGCCTGCAAGCGTGTCTTGATCACATCCAAGGGTGTCACTACAATAAATAATGTAATGAATACCAACACCTTAAACATCATATGTATGTATATAGTTAACTTTACAGTTTTTTTAACATTACACAGACTTACTAAAACATGCAGTCACCATGGCGCCAGTGCAGGCCGATGCCACTTGCTGAAGGGGTCGTATGCGGAATCTGGGATCTGTCATTTTGGCCTTCGAATGGGTTTGCGCCGGTGGTATTCCACATCTGCCTGCCGCTGACACAAAAGACGCGCTTGGTTCCCTTATGGGCATGGTTATGTTGTTATATTATTGTACGCGAGTCAATGTGTTCTTGGGCAAGCTGGTATGGTGAGAGATTGTGTTTTTGGGGCACGTTTCTATTGTCATGTATTGAACAATACTGGCAATCAGGCAAGACTCTTAATCATTGTGAAATTTCAGGTCCAAAAAAACAAGTCTGACCGTCCGATTTGATTCATTTTGATGGGCGATGGGATTGTGATGCCGAACAGCTGTTACCATGTGACCGAACTATCGATTGGCACAATCGATACTATTTGTTCTTTTGAGAAAAGAAAACATATGTGTATACGCAGTTAAATTACATATCTATTTAAGCAATCTTTATATGTGTGTATGTAAATGCATTTATAAACAACACATGTGCATATAAACGAACATAACCTAACATAACTTGACATAACATAATATGCTTGCTCCATTAACTTTGAATTTTCGGGCATTCCATTTTGACCATAGGCAAAGGCACCGTCGTGAAAAATTTTTTATAATTAATGCTACTTTTGTATGAAATAAAAGCATACAAAAAACCGTGCTTTAGCCGCACCATTTGAAATAAAAACGTTAATTTATAGGCACCTTAGGCACCTACCCTTTTACTTCATATCCAGGTTATGGTTTTGGTGAATAAAGAAGGCTTTGGTGTACTCAAACGTTGAGATCATGATTGCGCAGGCTGGAACCACGCGCAGGATGCGGGGCATAACGCCCATGTATAGACCGCGGACGCCCTGCTGGCTGTAGATGTCTGCGAGGCGTGAGAAGACCGACGGTCTGGCGTTGCATGCATTTTCTGTTTTGCTAACTGCTGAAAAATCGGTATAGAGCACATCATGGCCCAGCTCAATCTGCGTGTGCGTCGTTATCAAATCGAACGGCATCGTCACGAAGGTAGCCAGCTGGAAGGGTCAGGACAAGAAAGGAAAATCATGAAACGTTTGCTAAAATTCTCACAACAGACCCGACCCACCGCTCCAGACACTGCACCTGAAAAAAAGCTGAACCCGAATGTGGGCTCAGTCACAGCAAATCTTCGTTTTATTGACTCATACGTCGCCCAGTACGTGCCAGAAAAGGGCGCGTCCCGCATTACAGTGGGTGGCCAACCGCGCCAGAGGCCTAGCACGCCGTTCTGCCGGACCAGGGTACGCATTATTCGCCACAACTCGTCGTATGTTATGTAGCCCGATTGCATCTTGATGCGGACCATCTCAATGGGCGTGATTGCCGTGACGACTACGGTGCGCGAGCACATGCCTGAAGCCATTGGAATAAAATAGGGCAACGGCAACGGCGCCTGAGGCAAATCCAACGATTCCTTAGTGCCTGGCTCCACTGTTTGACTGCTTTGACGGGACACCAAGTAGAGTTTGGAGAACGAGTTATTCAGGTACTCGTAGGTGAGGAAGTAGATAATTGTGGAAGGCAGAGCCGATATGAGTGTGGGACACAAGCCAGACCAGAGCCCGGCTATGCCGCTGCCGCACATTATTTTAAGTAGCACATCCTGTGGTACACTAGATTTAGATACCAGAGATCTTGCCAGTCATACCACCAATTTCTCTGTCGTACTTACCATGGCCCCGCGTATCGGCCGCATGTTGTTGAGGTCACTTCCGGGCTTTGGCAAGCATTCGGTATTCCGCTTGCAGACATGCGTCATCAAGCCATTGTGGAAAACGTAGCACAGCTTGGAGATAGTCGCTGGTGGCTGATGGCGCATCGCGTGCTGGGTCTGGACCCGAGTCTTTACCACCTCCAAGGGCGTCACTGGTGGTTAGCGTGCACGAATGTAATATCCCTCCCATACGTGGGCCTAGCATAGACAAGACGAGACCTCTACTCACCCACAAATGTTGTGATGAGCCCGCCGATCAGTGCGGATATGACATGCTGCATGGGCTTGATGCGGTATTGCGGCTCCTGCTGCAGCGGAACCTCAACTTCACCTTTTCTGCGTGGGCCCGTCTGCGACGGCATCTTTCACTCGATATATAGCTTTTGTTGTTTGACGCTTTGTCCAATCTTTATTTCTAATACATGAAATCAGACGTCACCAATTGCTTTACCAATTGCTGAGAAAAAAAACTAAATAAGCTTAACAAAATGTGTGTTTTTGTTTCTATTACATTCCTATGACACGGCATCTTGATTTGGATATAGAAAAATAAAAAAACTTTGATCCCACAACTAACTCAGTTTGATAACCAGGGGTCTAAGGCGTTGCCCCACAGAGCTCTGATGTTCTTAATCCTCATTTACAACGCTGCACTGAGGCTGGGCCACATCCCCAAGGCCTGGAAAAGGCCCGTGTTGCCATGTTGCTCAAGCCAAATAAACCGCCGGGGGACATGTGCAACTACAGGCCAATTAGCTTGATTCCCCCCTGCGGGAAAATCCTGGATACCTGCATCCAGAGGAGGCTATTGAATACACCATCCATTAGGAATGGCATCCCTAAGTTTCAGTGCGGTTTCAGACTGAAACACGGTACCCCGGAACTGCTGCATAGGGTAACTGAGCACATTTTGGATGGATTCCACAGGCTTTCGACAGGGTGTGGCATGACGGACTTCTTTCCAAAATCCAGCCTCTACTCAATCCCTAGTTGACAAAAAGTTTCCATTCTGAGGAGCTTCCGAGTGGTCCAGAATGGAATGGCATCCTCGGCGAAATCTATCTGGGCTGGTGTACCAAAAGGCCGCGTGCTAGGGCCGTTGCTATACATATTCACTCATGACATGCCAAAGCCAGCGATGTTCCTACTCCCCAAAACCAGTCCATTGGAGTCGCAACCTTTGCTGACGACACTGCAGTGTTGTCTAGCGCTGGCTGCGTCTATGACACCACGGTTAACCTGCAAAGGTACCTCAAAAAATTTGAGAACTGGGCGTGCAGGTGTAACATCTGTAAAAACCCGACCAAGTGTGCAATAGTTACCCACACACTCAGGAAGGATACGTGCCCTGGAGTCTTCCTTCATGGTACGCTCGTTAACCAGTGCCTGCAACACAAATACCTTAACGCCACCCTAGACACCGGTCTAACATTTAAAAAATATGTTAAGAATGTCAGGGGCAATCTTGCGAGCAAAGCCGGCACAAAGCCGGCACACTGGATACTCAACGCCAACAACAAGCTGAGCCTATCAAACAAGGTTCACTTTTACAAGGCAATCCTGGTTCCAATATGGATATACGGGATCCAGGTCTACGGCATTGCAGCCAAAACGCACCTAGACCGATCAGAATCTTTCAAAGCTCGTTTTTTCGTAATATATCTGGAGCGGAATGGTTTATCCGCAACCGGGACATCGCCTACGACCTCACAGTCCCTGGGATTGGTGATGTTATCAACAAGCAGGCTGAGAGGTACGTTGTTAAGCTCGTAAGTCAGCCGAATGTCATGGCGAGGCTGCTCGCGAGAACCAGTTACCGTCGTATGCTGACCAGGCGACACTTAGTAGATCTGCCTAATAGGAGGATCTAGGAGGACCTGAACACGACGTAAAATATAACTGTGATAAACACCCACTGCCACTGATGTTTTATAATCTAAATTTTAGATAGAAATCCTAGTCGACTATAATTTGTGCCAACCTGCTATGAAAGTAGCTACAAAAAGGTACAGATATAATATTATCGTAGATTATTATTTGTTGTATCAAAAACCAGGCAAAAGCCGAAAGGAAATATGTACAGTAGGAAACTACCGTTGAGAGAATACCATTTAAAATACAGGGGCGAATACGACACAAATGATTACGTTTAATTGCGAACATATAAATATGAATTAATTTAATCAAATTTAATAATAATTTGCATTACATTTAAGTTAATTATGAGTAGTAAGTCAGTATCATATTATAGCTTTAAGTCAGAACCAAACAAGTTAATCATTTTGATAGGATATTCCAATGTTATCGGCATGATGATAATCTGATCCTTCATCTCTCGCGCCGAATTGTGGTATGGGGTGATGGCTTTTACTTGTGCGCAATAGGAATCAATGTCTCGCCAGCGGTGAGGGCTGGCAACGGCGCATCTACAGTAAGCACTCCGTCCTTGCTGAGGGACGAGCGGATGGACTCGGGATTCACGCCTTTTGGCAGCAGAAATTCACGGTTATATTCTCTGTATACGCTCTTTGTGTCGGACTTCTCTTCGTGTTTGGCATGCACCTAAGCGGGATCAAAAACTACAATTAGCAAAGCAATACCAGAAATATATATTTTTTGCTTACCAATAGCTTCTGGTCAACGGTCTTCACCACTATTTCTTCGGGCGCATACTGGCTGACGTCGAAGCGAAGCTTTAGCACTTTGTTGTCGCCTTCATCCTGCAACCAGACAAATTAAAATAGAAGGTTAGATAGAATTTAATCTAAAATCGGAGCGAGGTTTTCTCGGAAATAGTTGAAATGTATGCACTTACCTGTATCAAGGGTGAACTAATGTCGGACACGTAGTTCTGTTGCTTGGGGATTCGCGATGGCAGCGCCGAGTTTGTCGTTGAGCTGAAATGATAGCAGGGGCCAATAAAAATTTTGTAATTCAACCAAATTAAACAAAAACAAATGGTTTAAAATCCAAAAAACAATAAAAACTATGTGGGGGGAGCGTAGCGTTGGGTGGAAATTGGTCGTTTTTATTGTATTTTATTTTAGAAATGGGCGAAAAGTGTAAAGTTGAATGTGTGTGTAAAAGCCTACATTACTTATAATGGTATCTCGAATGTCGAGTCTAATTCAAATGAATGTGAAGTGCCTCCACTTGGGGTACTATTTAAAAACGGTCCGGACCTTTCGATACAAGGAGAGTTTTAATTGAGGCACAGTTGTCGTTCTCTGGCACCTCCGCTACCCCTGGACCATGCAACTATAAGTTTACCTACTGTGAAGTATACAGCCCTTACCCTTTGAAGTTCGTCATCAGATATCTAAATCAGAACCCAACCTGAGTACGGTTTTTGAGTACACTGGGGACTAGAGCATTCATAGAGCAGCTGATAGCAGGATTAAAGTGGTAACACAATAAAATTATAAATATATAACGGAAGACTGCTGCCAAGTAACGAAAATGTGTTCTGAAAAATTGTGGTACTTCTGTGCTTCACTCGACAATTTCCGAGTATGGACTTATGTTGTATGTATGTACATACATCAGGGGTCGGCACGGCCCTATCTAATGTGCTAGGAAAAGGCGCTGCTGCTCACAGTAGAAGTAAGTTCCGTTTTGCCGTTTTGTGTGTACGCACACAAGCTCACTGCAATGCATGTGACTGTGTGCATGCCGATGTACCACTGATGTACATATGTACATATGTCGAAAGTTCTTCCAGTACGTGTAGTCTACATCCCAAAAATGCATACATACATACATACGTACACATGCATTTCGTATTTATTTGTTCTTACAGAAGCGAGAGTTATGACATAGATAAATAAAAACATACATACATACATATGTATGGATGTGAATCAATTTCTTGTTTAGTGCAACTTATTGTTAGACACAAAAACTAATAACAACGGAAATTAAAGAAATCATGAACATTAAAACCATTAAAATCATAAACAAAAATAACTCTTTTTAAAGATATTTATTGTACCTGGTTGTTGTTGTAGTTTTTTTAGTAGAGCTTTTTTATGGGAGAGCAGATTATCATAGTTATATAAAATGATTGCGGTCATTAATTGATGCCAAGCAGCAAGTATGGTGATAAAAGAAGAATGGGAAATAGAGAGTTTACAGCAATCAAGATAAATACACGTCATCATACACATACATACATACATACATACATACATACATATGTAAATATGCCCACTCGCATTCTGTCGTTACGCTACATTCGTACGACAAAATGTTCAAAAGAATAATAAAAAAGGCAAATTTTGGAAAAAAAAATTAAATATTTTCTATTTGAATAGTAATAGGGTAGATGTAGCCAGAGCCCCAAAGCACACTTTAAATTCAAAATTTTTGGGGGATGGAAATAAAATAATTAATATAAAATATTATTTTGTTTAAATAATTTTCAAAGAAATTCAGCTTAATACATTTTTATTCATACTATATATATTTGCTAAATACTCGATAGACAGGACTATGCTACGCGCGATTAAAAAAAATGATTTTGAACTAGGAAGAAGATGGTGAGGAGCTAATAGGTGAATTCAGCGATAAAAACCGCGAAACAGACATTTTATAACCTGTGCAACCTCTCATAATTAAAAAAAAAACATCTTTTGATGTTTAGAAATAAGACGTCAATGTCAAAACTCATATAAAAAAATGTAATTAAAAAAGAACCATGTACGATGGACAAATAGTTTCTGGACGTAAATTCTTGACAAATCGCGGTCCATCAATCGGGTTTTCAATTTTTTTTTTTTTTCCATAGGTCCGTATTTACCATATTTTTTGTAAGGAAAAATCTTGTTCTTAACAAAATAAGACTCTGTATTTTTTTCTATTAATTATGTTTAATATAAATATTAAAACTATATGATAGCTCAGAATTTTATTTCAATGACAAAGAAAACTTAAAACACTACTACTCCTTTAAAATCTCATCAATATTAAGTTTTTTCCGTATTTACCATATTTTTTGTAAGGAAAAATCTTGTTCTTAACAAAATAAGACTCTGTATTTTTTTCTATTAATTATGTTTAATATAAATATTAAAACTATATGATAGCTCAGAATTTTATTTCAATGACAAAGAAAACTTAAAACACTACTACTCCTTTAAAATCTCATCAATATTAAGTTTCTCTATTACACTACTCGACAAAATCGAACTTTTTTTTTCCTCAAGGATCCAAACCGACTTTTTCTGATAGATATGGAGATTTAAAATTTTTTAAAGAATTATGGTTTTTTTTCTATGGCAGAACTTTTTTTTGAAAAATTTTTGAAGTCTGGTATTTTTTTTTTAAGATTTTTTCAGAGGAAGCGCTTGTTTTTTTCACATAACTCTAGTATCTTACGTCTGGTTGTAAAGAACTTTGCTATGTTGAAAAGATAATTAAAACAGCTAAAAGTTAAGCCCAAACACTTTGTGATTACAGCTTACCGTCTGGGAAATATAAAGCATTGAAATGCAAAAATTATGATTTTTGTGCGGTATTTCTTACGAAATTTTGACTTTAAAATCTCAGGAAAAGTCGAAAAAAAATTATATCCTGTGTCCTCTATTTTTTTGTGTATAGGTGCGTTAATTTGGCGTCGTTTAAGGTATCGCTCATTAAAATCTATGGAGAGACTTTGGAGCTAAAATTCGTTAACCAAACCTAAAATATGGAAAAAATGAACAAAAAATACCTTTTTGAAGGCGGCGGGCCCAATTGCCAATTGGGAACAAAGGAGGGCGATCAGGTACCAAATGTACAACCCTTGTTCGTTTGCTTTGAGTTTTTAAAGTCAAAATTTCGTAAGAAATACCGCACAAAAATCATAATTTTTGCATTTCAATGCTTTATATTTCCCAGACGGTAAGCTGTAATCACAAAGTGTTTGGGCTTAACTTTTAGCTGTTTTAATTATCTTTTCAACATAGCAAAGTTCTTTACAACCAGACGTAAGATACTAGAGTTATGTGAAAAAAACAAGCGCTACCTCTGAAAAAAGCTTTAAAAAAAATACCAGTTTTCAAAAATTCTTTAAAAAAAAGTTCTGCCATAGAAAAAAAAAAATATCATCAAACCATTTCTAAGCCACAAATCTTTAAGAAAAAGTTCGTTTTGTTCCTTGAGGAAAAATCGTGTTGACTAGTGTTATTACTACTCTACTCTATAAACTGAGATGTCTTAATCTTTCCTGTTCCTTCGACGACCTCAAATAATTTTTTACCAGCTTCAGCTTGCTGAAGGATCGTTCTTCAGATGTAGATATAACGGGAATAGTTAAAAAATACCATAGGCTTTATCCAAGTTTTTAAAGTTTGGTGTAAAATTCAAACAAAACCGTACCAGTTCCCCTCGCGCCCGTACCATGAAGCGTGAAGCGAAAATTGAAAGGTAATTTGTTCCTAGTCCCATATCTTTGTAATTGTATAGAGTCTTTGTTTTAACTTAAGATAGTTTAATAGTTTCGAATCCAAACCGGACCCCCTAAACTGTGGAAAATGCTCCCAGAAACAGAAATCTGTTCAAATTTTAAGTTTTGTATTAAAGCAAGCAGAAATGTCTTAGCTGGAGCTGGAGGACGACGCAATATTAAATAAATCCGATGCTGTGGAACATGCCGTCAGCATGTTTTATATCGCCTTTTAAATGATTAAAATAAATAATAATATAACCATAATAATCTCCATATAATCAGTATTCATTCGACTGCCTTAATTACTACATTTGTCTTCATAATTGCACTATAATTGGATCCTCTCTGATTCGGTCGCCTTAAGGCCTGTCTCCAGCACAGCGGAAAATTCCTGCCAGGAATTTGCTAGCTATTCCGTAAGGGTGTGGAACATAACTAAAACATGGTTGGTTTTGGGCCGGGTGTCAGGAATATCTCAGTCCACACTCGGTCCCGATAGGCGATATAAATCTGTGGATTCCGCTCGTGTTGCTGGATAAACACTCCAGGAAACGAAGCGAAAAATTCCTGCCACAGTTTTTTTATATAAATTCTGACAGGAATTTTTCAATTACGCGGTGCTTAAACGAAAAATTCTTGATTTTTTATATGAAGTTTGACAGGAATTTTTTGATTCCGCGGTGCTGGATACTATGCTCTACATTTTGCTTTGACTTATTATGCTTTAAATTTCAAAAAACAAAATGAATTATTTAAATAATGAAGACATATGTATATAATCTTATGAAGGCAGATATGTGAAGGAAAATTATATGGATTTTATAATTTATTATTTTCATTATTTTGTATGAATATAAAACAAACTAGACTAGCTAGCTCTGAAAGACACTTTTTAATTTACACTGTTCGCCTATGGAAACAAATACCAAATAGCTTCAAAACAACTGCAGACGCAAATTTGACTGTAAATTTGAAAAATCTATATTAAAACAATAACTTAACTCAAAATAAAATTAAGAATGTTTGGGAGATATTTAAATTTAAACTTAAACAAATGTGTATAAAATTAAGCAAGAAACTATATCCATATACTCAAAATTAGCTATAGGAACTGTTTAATTTAATTCAATTTAATTTAATAATCAATCGTATTGAAATTTTGTGACTACTGCATTAACTATGAGGTACAGTTTTGTAGCACTAGGAATATTAAAATAAACACACAAGCAAACAAATATTGTTTTCAAACATGTTTTCTTCACGGTGGTCGACGGTGGTTGCAGGGGAGCCGTCGCCATCTGCTGCTGCTATTAGCCAGAATGGAATGTTCCTTTGGCATTAAAATATTGGGGAGCCCAGGATATGCCTGGGGAAGATCGACTCCAGCCGAAGAAGTGCATTTCATTAACTTTGTTTACTTTAACAAAGCAGTTGTCACAGCAGTGTAACCGTACGGAATGCAGTGCACGCTTCTGGTCAGACCACTGGCCGCTAGAATAATATTATTGCTAGCAGACAGTTTTGGATCTGTTTTTGCAAAGGGCAAAAACACAAGCTTTGGAGAAACTCCAAGGGTAAACACGTGTGTGTACTCTGTGCGTTTTTTTTTCGTACTCACACCATGTCACAAAAGTCGACCCAATTTCACTGCACCAACCAACAAAACCCCGATTTTTTGCGCACCTATGCGTGAGAAACTATGTTTGTATGTATATGTATATGTATATGTACAATGTACATATATGTATACATGTGTGCAACATATGTGAGTGATAGCCGTGGCCGAGCATGGCGTTGACCTTGCTGGGAGTGCGAGGCGGATGATCTCCTGTACAGGTCCAGACATGTGCAAAATAATTGACCAAATCTGCCTCAGTTTCGCGTTAACGAGTAATTCCAATACCCGTTAGACTGGGACTGGCCAAAGTCTAATCAAAAGGGAATGGCAATATCAGAGACAGGGGCAATTATCTGCCAAATTCTGTGCGCTCGCTACCCTCACGCTCGCACACACACACACACACAAACACACACACAGGCGCCCTACTCTCTTGGCGAACCTGACAAAAGCACATACACATACGCCAGTGCATACAAACCTAGGTTGGCACTGGCACTCAGTGTGTGGGCAAGAGTGTGAGTATGACATGTTCTCGTGCCTCTATCTCTCCGGCATCCGAAGGTGATGTCATGCATATTTTTTTTCGTTATTGAAAATCCAAGCGCAAGGAAAGTAAAGAAACGTGAAGAACGAGCGTAAGTAAAATTGTGTTTTTTTTGTCTGCCCTTGTTCTTGTAAGTTCGAATTTGTGTAAATGTGTGTGTATGTCGCCACACGGTTGCAGGGTATCAAATGTATGTAACTGATGACTTCTGGCGACAAAATAGCGATCATGTCTAAAAATTATCATGATATCATCTTCCCTCGTTCATTGTCATCATCAGCATCGCAGCGAACAATGGCAAGTAAATTGTACATGCATATACATAAATATGTACAGCTGTGTTCAATGAAATGGTAGTGCCTCACCTCACCACTTTCAAAACTATTTTTGAAGATTTTTCAGTGTTTCAAATCAAACAAGTGATCTTTT